AAGGATGTGTTAAATTGATAAGAAGTGATAGCAAGGATTTATATTGTTCGAAAAGATTTATATTTTGAATAAATATATGTTCTTTTTAACTTTTTATTCATCAAAGAATCCTGAAAAAAGTATCGCAGTTTCCAAAAAAAATATTTGGCAGCACAACTGTTGCCAACATTGATAATTCTAATAATAAATCAGCATATTAGAATGATTTCTGAAGGATCATGTGACACTTTATACTGGAGTAATGGCTGATGGAAATTCAGCTTTGCATCACAGAAATAAAGTATATTGGATATTAAAATAGAAACCATTATTTTATATTGTAATAACATTTTGCAAGATTACAGTTTTTTCTGTATTTTTGATCAAATAAATGCAGCCTTGATGAGCAGAAGAGACTTCTTTAAAAAACATTACAAGTCTTACTGATCCCAAACTTTTGACCGGTAGTGTATATATATATATTTCTCAAAAAAAAATGCTTTTATTCAGCAAGGGCGCTGATTTGATCAAAAGTGACAGTAAAGACTTTTATTTATCTTTTATTACAAAAGATTTCTAATAAATGTTGTTTCTTTGACCTTTTCTTTTCAAAGTATCCTGAAATATAAAGCAGCACAACTGTTTTTAACATTGATAATAATAAATGTTTCTTGAACATCAAATCGGGCTGCTGAAAGTTCAGCATTTCAATCAGAGGAATAAATTACATTTTAAAGTATATTCATTTACACTTACATTTAATCATTTAGCAGACACTTTCATCCAAAGCAACTGAGGAGAATAATAGAAGCAATCAAACCAACAAGAGTGCTCTGACAAGTCTCAGTTAGTCTAGCACAGTACATACAGTATAGCACGTTTTTTTGAATATATAAATTTGTCAGGTGTTGGTGATTAGACGTTTTTTGAACATTGAATTGAGATAGGCAGGTCATTCTACCAGCTGGGAACAGTCCAGGAAAAAGTCTGTGAGAGTGATTTTGTGCCTCTTTGGGATGGCACCACGAGGTGTCATTCACTTGCAGAATGCAAGCTTCTGGAGGGTGCATAAGTCTGAACTAGTGAATTTAGGTATATTGGTGCAGAGCCAGTGGTTGTCTTGTAGGCAAACATCAGTACCTTGAATTTGATGCGAGCAGCTATCGGCAGCTGGTGCAAACTGATGAAGATAGGTGTGATGTGGGCTTTCTTCGGCTCCTTGAAGACCACTCTCGCTGCTGCATTCTGGATCAGTTGCAGAGGCTTGACAGTACATGCCGGAAGGCCCGCCAAGAGAGCATTATAATAGTCCCGTCTGGAGAGAACAAGAGCTTGGACAAGGAGTTGTGTGGCCAGCTCTGATAGGAAGGGTCTGATCTTTCTAATGTTGTAATGCTGTATATTCAAATAGAAAACAATTATTTTAAATTGCAAAAAATTTAACAATATTACTGTTTTTATTTCTGATCCAATAAATGCATCCTTGCTTTGTAAGAGACTTCTTTCAGAAACATTAAAAATCTTACCAAACACAAACGTTTGAACAGTAGTATTCATAAATATGCGAGTGTACTCCTAAAAGTTGCCTAAATTACAGCAAATATGCACATTTAAAATCGATTCTTTTGCTTCTGTGAAAATGGACCAAAATATTGATGCCTCTTCCTGCACTATGACGAATCCAAATGAATGCTTAATCAAATGCTTTCTAGAGCATATTAGATTGCACTATGCCTCAGACTAAGAATAGTAAATAGTTAATAATGTTTATGGCTGCGATGTAAACTAAAAGGCTCTTAGCTATGTTTTTTTTTTTTCTATTACAAGTTTTGAAATTGTTTAAATATGCAAATGAGGCATTATCTAATTAAATAAGCACTAATTTGTATATATTTCCAGAACAGAAATCTGAACATTGGATTAAGCCAGGTTAAAAAATTGTTTCATATTGTTGATATATTACAGTCAAAGTTTCATTTCTCTCTTTATCACTCCATAAATCAGAAATTACTGTCAACAGCCAGAACAAAATTTACCATATTTCTAGGAATAAAGTGGTAAATAAATCAAGTGAATGATCTATAAAAAATCCCTTATGTGAAAACCTTCAGAATATAGATAGGAACAAAAAAATGTGAGATTTGGTATATGGAAGTGCTACTGAAGTGAAGATTTCTGATTTCAGAAAAAAATCATTTTGAGAAAACAACCTTTAAAGATATGTATTATAATTGCAATCTACAGACATAAATAGTGCAAGAAAATTAACACTTAAAAGTGTATTTTGCGATTGTTTTCTTTCCACTAATCTGAAATATGAATGTTATGGAAGCAAAGTAGCCCAAAAATCTCAAAATTGTCCAGTACCTGAAAAACAACAACAACAACAATGCTTTTGTCTGTAGTGTCTTGCCTTTAAGAAAATAAAGCTGACTTTTTCTTGGCAATTAAGCAAATTAATTTCATTACTATAATGCAAAAAAATTATGACATTTAAATTGAAAAGTGCTTATACATCATTCATGATAGTATTTGTTGTGCTACATTTAATTTTATGCTAATTAAAATTTTAAAAAGCATTTGTATTCAAGTAGGGCTGCACGATAAATCGCATGCGATATTTAACGCGCATAGCCCTAAGTCATTTATAGTCCTTTTTAGGTAACACTTTACAATAAGGTTCATTAGTTAACTACATTAGTTAACATGAACTAATAATGAACTGCACTTATACAGCGTTTATTAATCTTTGTTAATGTTAATTTCAACATTTACTAATACATTATTAAAATCTTGTTAACATTAGTTAATGCACTGTGAACTAACATGAACTAACAATGAACATCTGTATTTTTATTAACTAACGTGAGCGTAGATTAGTAAATACAGTAACAAATGTATTGCTCATGGTTAGTTCATGTTAGTTAATACATTAACTAATGTTTAACTAATGAACCTTATTGTAAAGTGTTACCCCTTTTTATGCTAAATATAATACTTTCATGACCTGTTTAATTCTAAATGAGTAAGTGAGAGTGTGGAAAATGAGTGAAAAGCTGCAATATGACTATGGTGTAACCGTGACTAACATTATAAATGTACTAGAATTTGATATGGTCCCATGTATTGACTATCCCCTAATAACACATTTTCACATTCATCCTATCGTATGTGATCTGCTGCAGGTGCATGGCGTGTGTTAGCAGTATGTGGCCATGTCATTGGTGTGTGAAGGATGAGCTCTGCACTCATGATAAGAGCTGTCCTCGTCAACACGTCATCTATAACAGCAGGGTAAGTGTTCGCTCTCTCATCTCCCCCAGGGCTTTACCATCTCCTGACCGCTAATCCTGATCATTACAGACAGCCAACGGGGTCACGACCTCTCATGATACATGTAGTGATCTTTTTTCTCTTTCTCGAGGTCAAATAAAAACTTGGAGGTCATAAGTAATTCATTCTTCAAATAAAGGAATAAATCCAAAATATTTTCAATAGTGGGTTACGCTACCATGGTATTCTTTGAAGTATGTTGATTCAGAACCATGGTTTATTTCAAAGCACCATAGTATTTAACGGTTTAGCATAGTGCTTCTTTTGTAGGGGACCATAGTTATTTTTACTACAGTAAAACTATGGAATTATGCACCATATTTTTGTATTTACTATAGTAAAAATAACTTGATCTTAATATTTTCACATCATATATTTAAACAATATATATATAATATATATATAGCATTTAAATATAATATATATATGTGTGTGTGTACCATGTGCCCCTTCCAAATTTTACGCTTCCAAAAACATTTTTGTCACGATTAATTTACATAGCTATTGTTGGAAAAATTATATTATTTGTCTAACACTTTGGGAGAAATCATGCATTCATGTCTAAATTTGGTCTGTTCAATCAAATCGCACCTTCCAATGATCATTTGCATTAAACTGAAAATTCTCTTTTTTCCTAACCAACCCTTGCCCTCACTGAAATTCTCATTTTGTGTGTGCGTGTCAACAGGAGCTGTCATTGCCCCGTGGGCCTGACTCTTGCCCCTGCGTCTGGGCCCTGCAGAGCTCCCCTCTGGTTCCTGTTGGCTTTGACAGCGAGCTCTCTCTGCAGGGCAAAAACCTGGACATATTTGAGGTGATGCTCATGTGCCGCTTATCATTCCACCCCATCCATTGTGCCTGAGTCAATATGTTGGCCTTGACGTTTCATGGCTGTGCATTTTAAGAGACCATTATTCCGGGGTGGTCAGGAGGGTCTGGGTGAACTCATTTATGATAATGCATGTGGAATGAGGTTAGAGACGACTCGTGATTAGCGTTTGATTGTGTGACATGCCGTGTGATATTTTAAACAGGATGAGGAAGATTATGCTTGCGTGCTGGTCATCGAAGGCCAGGAGCTGCGCTTGCCAGCCACGTTGGACCGCAGCAAAGAGACGGGGACGCATGTGTTCAAGTGTGCCGCTCATCAGGTGATATTAATAGCGCCCATTTATTCATTGCCACATCAAATTACGCCACAGCCGGTGCAGTTAATATAGACTTGTGCATGTGACGTCTGCACTGATAATAGCTGTAATTTATTACACCAGCCAGAAAAACACAGCAATTCAAACATGGATTTGTTGATGGTGCCACACATAATTTGTCTGCATGCACCTGGCTGATTATACATTGATTTTGTATGTGTGTGTTTAGTTTCGGTACTCAGGAAAGCAGTTTGAATATTCCGCTCCTGTATACCTGCAGTGGGGGACACAGCGTATAGACTCAGCACCACATCTCCGCTGTGAGTACCATGACCATTTCTGCATGTTTCATTCAGTGGCAAAAAACATAAAATAACTCTTATTTTTATCAGTGTACTTACTCATTTGCTTGACTTAAATACATGTAAAATAAATATATCATATATATATATATATATATATATATATGGTCAATAAATATATATATTAAAAATATATATGTAAGGGATGATGTACATCTAGCTGGTTGTTATCACAGCATAAACCCCACAGGATGATCAGGACCTCAACACAAAGCAAATATTTAATTATTTAAAATATAATTATTTAAGTCTAATTAATTATATATGTATATATATAAATAAATAATAAAATTACCATTTTAAATAACAATAGTATTAAAATGAAAAAACATAATTTTTAAATACTGTTTTTGAAAATATACTATTTTTAATATTTCATGTTAATCTATATGTTATATATTCATATATTTTATATTTTATACAATGTAGTATTATACTTGTGTGTGTGTGTGTGTGTAAAATAACATTACAGTTTTAAATAACAATGTTGTACAACTTTTAATGCTCTGTTTGTGTGTGTGTGTGTGTGTGTGTGTGTGTGTATAGTTTTAAATATACAACTTTTTATGCTCTCTCTCTCTCTCTCTCTATATATATATATACACTGTATATATATATATATATATATATATGTGTGTGTGTTTTGTAAAGTTGCTGTTTAAAGTGTGTATATATAATATATATAAATTAACATATTTTTATATATTGTACATATATATATATATATATATATATACACACACACAGTATATATATACATACAAGTATAAAAAATATATATTTACAATAGTTTTTTTTTTTATGCTTTTTTAAAAACTAGATAGATAACAGCTAGTAACAGTTTTGTATCTGTTGGTTGTGAGCTCGCTGAGATTAATTTGTGTCTGTGTAACAGTGCAGCTGTACGACTGCTCAGTGGGACAGTCCGACTGCAGCCAGTGTCGTGCAGTTGCGGGTAATTACGGATGTGTGTGGTGTGCCGATGAAACCCCTGGCTGTGTGTATAACCAATCCTGCACCAGCGGAACCATGGACACCTGTCCTCCTCCTCTAATTACTGAGGTACACATATGCACGGTCCAAAATTAAATTGTGTGGGTGAATTTAGAAAGTTTATCACCAACTATGAAAATTTATTTTGTGTTATTTCCTTAAAGGCACAATATGTAATTTTCGCTGCTGGGGGGCGCGTATTCAAAATAAACAAATAGACAAAGGCGTAGTTTGATGACGCCGTGACTGAGTGTGGAATCATGGGAGTTGTGGTAAATTTAGAAAGTTTATCACCAACTATGAAAATTTATTTTGTGTTATTTCCTTAAAGGCACAATATGTAATTTTCACCGCTGGGGGGCGCGTATTCAAAATAAACAAATAGACAAAGGCGTAGTTTGATGACGCCGTGACTGAGTGTGGAATCATGGGAGTCACGTCATTGGCAGGTGACACAATGACACTATGGACACGCTCTGTGCCACTAGTTAAAATTGCTTATTTCTCTGGATTTAAACATTCTTCGAAACATTTGGGATAATGCAAGTACACAAGTCAGCAAAATATATAGCACTGTTCTAGTGGTTTTTGGATATTTTCATAAAAAAATCTTACATATTGTGCCTTTAATGATGCATTTTGTTGCCAAGACAATGGAATTAATTTAGCTTTAGTTTTTCTCTTGAGTTTTTGTAGCAAACCATACAGCTAATTTTGTTATTTGCATAATCATAAACCTGTCAGTGTGTCAGCTGTCACAAAAACATCAAAGTCATGGGTTTGATTCCTAGGGAATACACGAACTGATAAAGCATATACTTTTGGATAAAAGCTTCTCCCGAATGTATAAATGTCAATGTGAAGGCAAAAGCTGTCATCATAGTCACTGATCTTTTCATAAGTGGACAGTTTGTGTCGAAGGATCTAAGGATCTAGTTTGAGTGTTCAGTAGCAATCTGTGTGTGTAGCTTCAAATGCACAACCATATATTTATATTGTTTTATTTTCTCAATTTGCTTTTGTAACTGGTGTTGTCTGCGTTGTATTTTTGATTAAATAAATGGACGGACATCAGCTGAAGGGTCGACTCTTCATTTAATCTCTGATAAAAGATAACAGTCTTTACGATGTGAATTTGCCCTTTGTTGTTTCTGTTAAATGTAAAGTGCAATGCAATTATCGCGTGCTTTAAGTGTATCGATGAGACGACAAAATTAATCACAACTTCAATTAAAATGAAAATAATGAAACATACATGAAAAATAAAGTTATAAATATAATTTAAACAGAAAAACAAAAGTGATTTTTAAAGCAAAGATGCCATTAGATTAATCAGAGGTTAATAGAAACCCACTTCTCCCATGCAGAGACAGTGAAGAAAGGGAAGAGGAGGGGCAAAGACAGGAAATTAAGATTAATTTTGCAGTCAGAAAATTAAAGGGGAAGATGCACACATATAGACCGACATATCGGGTATACATTTGAACGATTTTATGTAATTCTATATGAGAATAATACTTTCCATACCTGTTAAAATTTCATAATGGTAATTACAATCATTTATTGAATAATTTATATGTTACTCATATATTTGGTCATTTGTCATTGTTAAAATGTATTTTGTATATTGTGTTTTTATACACGCATAATATATATATATATATATACATACTGTATATATATATATATATTTTAATGGAATAATTTGTGCCAAGTCCAACTGAGCATGGAAAAACACAACAGAAATTATTCAGTAGACCCTGCTCATTTTTATCATCATATTGTCTCCTGCTTTCTACTCTTCCCTACCTTGCTCTGTCAGCCCTTTTGGGCTGATAGAAGACAGTTAATACAGTTTTGGTTATCAGACAAAATGCTATGTTAACTGGTTTCGGGTATCAGACAAAACATTTATTGGAGAGACTGGATCTAATATCCCTGGTGTGGAGTTGCAATACAAATTTTGGCATATTGTCTCTTTGATTTGATTCACATAGCTTCTGAAAGACTAAAAAGCTGTTAGGCTCAAACTGTTGTTATTGCATTGCCATTTAAACCTTTTATTGTTCCTGAAAAAAATTTAATTTTACTTGCTTTGCAAATATTTATAAAAGACAATGTGTGTTTTGTACATGTTACAATTTGTACTAAGTTCAGTGTGCCAAATTGAATTAGAAAATGGTCAATTAAATGTTAAAGAGTAATTTTATCTGTGGGCAGGTCGAGCCTCTGACCGGGCCACTGGAAGGCGGCATCCTGCTTACAATCCAGGGATCGAATCTGGGCCAGAGCTTCCAGGACATCCAGGCAGGAGTGACGGTGGCAGGGGTGACCTGCAGACCTCTGCCCGAGGCCTATCGCATTTCCACCAGGTACAACTCCTCTGTTAAAATCACAGTTTTAGAGCACCAAATAAGATGACAAGTCAGCGTCAGATTTCATGTGTGCGTAATTCTGGTTTTGTTTTCAGCATTGTGTGTGAGCTCCAGGCCAGTGCAAATGCCACAGCCGGACCGGTTGTCATCACTGTCAGAGGTTCAGAGAAAGGAGAGTCCCAGCAGACGTTCTCATATCAGAATCCACAGCTGAGTAGGATTGTGCCGGAAAAAGGGCCCTTAGCTGGGGGCACGATGCTAACGCTCCATGGGTCGCAGCTCCTGACGGGACAAAGAACAGAACAAAGTAGTGACCAAATCGCTGGCCTGCAGACTTTCTTGGGCTCAAAGCCCTGTCGCATGTAAGCACAAATGGAGTTAGCATCACCTTGGTTCCCTTGACAAAAACTCAATTGAGTTTTTCCATTGACTTTTAAATTAATGTAGAAAATAAGCTGTTACCACAGTTTGTGTTTCTTAAGTGTTTTGTAAATCGTGATTGTCTTTACAAATGAACACAACTTTTGAATTTTGAAGCCTAAATACAATCAGCACTTAATATCCTTAACAACCTCTCTGTAGTCACATTTAGCCACTAGTTAGCAACTGCCTTTTTCAAGAAAGTTAAAGCTTTAAAAAATAACAAGTGAATCATAAAAAAAAATCATAATTTGTATATTTTATGTTGTAGAATAAAACAAAAATATCTTGAGCTTGTGTTCACCACAGACCTTATTTCTGGCATTTAACTAAAAACCTATTTGAAAATCCATTGACTTTGGGACGGTAGAACCGGAAGTACTAAAATGTTAACTCGATTATGGGTTTTGGCCTACAAAAATACATCATCCCTGTAGCTCTTGATCTCATTTATCTGTTTATTGACAGAAAATGTGAATGCAATTGACTGAAAAGATGCTGCAAGTTGCATTTGTCTAAGTTTTCTTTTTCTTTTGTTCTATAAGAAATGAAGTGAGTGACACACGGCTGATTTGTCGCACCAGTCACTCCAACCAAACTGGAAGAGTGCCAGTCAAAGTTGTGTTTGGAAAAGCAGAGAGGATTTTGGATAGTGTTCTTTTCAGCTATATGGAAGACCCTGTGATTACTGATGCAACACCTACGGAGAGTTTCTATGGGTATGTACGCTCAAGGCTTATAATTCACGCAAAAATGAAAATTCAGTCATCATTTAATTACCCTCAAGTTGTTCCAAACCTGTACGAGTTTCTTTCTTTGAGCACAAAAGAGGATATTTTGAAGAATGTTGGTAACCAAACAGTTACTGCTAGCCATTGACTTTCATATTATGAAAAAAAAAATACTGGCTACCAGCAACTGCTCGATTACCAGCATTCTTCAAAATATCTGCTTTTGTGTTGAGCAGAAGAAAGAAACTCATACAAACTTAAGTTGTTATAGTTATTGTCCATGTGTGAACAGGCGTTTACTCTGATCTATTCTACATCTACATCATGAGATCATGTTCCTCTAATATTTTCATTTAAACTTAGGGGTGGACGTCTTATATACGTGACTGGCCAAAACCTGAATGTCGTTCAGCAGCCAAAGATGTCAGTCTCTAATGAGCCTAGAGAGAGGTCAGAAGTCAGAAGACGTCGATACACCCACGTTTCTGTCAGGAGTCCCTTGGTTACGGTAAAACAGCCAGAAAACTCATTCCACGCATGGTTTCAACCAATCTTACATATCAAACACAGAATTTGTTTTCAAAATGAATGCATACAGGACTTATACATTTGATTCATTCTCGGAGGTTTAAATATTTATTCAGAGATGGCTTAATCATTTACTTGACTGAAACTCGTTCACACTCCAAGCGCATGAAAGGAAATGTTCTCGGAGGTGCAGTAGTGCATATGTTTCTTTCTGTCTTCAGATTCAGGAGTTGTGCACCAATGTGACCTCCGAGAGGATGATTTGCAAGAGCCCAATGGTGGAGCCGAAATCCAGGATAGTGCGAGTGTGGTTCGAGATGGACAATGTGCACATTGACTTTCACACCATCAAGAACAAGCTGTTCACGTACCACCCAAACCCAGACTTATTCCAGCTGAACAGTGAGTCCCGAGGAACACCCATCCGATTCAAACCTGGAGGAGTCCTGGCAGTAGAGGTGTTTGCATTTCTGTTTATTTCTGTTTTGTTGATTGTCCACCTATTTTATTTCAGTTAACTAAATATATTAATAGTTTTAAGTTGTAGTTTAGTTGCTGACACTGAGGATGTGTTTTGTGTCTGAAGGGTAAGGGACTGACACTGGCTATGAACAGAGATGAAGTTGTGGCCCAGCTAGGGGACAAAGAGTGTGTCATCAAGACTCTTGATAACACACACCTGTACTGCGAACCACCTGAGGAACAGCCTCTCGCCCTGGACGACAGTGACTTACCAAAACTAAAGGTCAGTCTTTATCCAGTGTCAGCTTTAGTTGTTTCATTGGATGGTTTTTTACATTTACATTACATTTAGTCATTTATCAGATGCTTTTATCCAAAGCGACTTACAAATGAGGACAATGGAAGCAATCAAAATCAACGAGAGAGCAATGATATGCAAGTGCTATAACAAGTCTCAGTTAGCTTAAAGGGGTCCTATTATGCTTTTTCACTTTTTCAACTTTATTTAGTCTGTAATGTTGCTGTTTGAGCATAAAAAAGATCTGCGAAGTTACAAAGCTCAAAGTCCACTTCAAAAGGAGATATTTTATTGAACAGAAATCATTAAGAAAAAACGACAACGAACAACTCGTTTGGACTACAATACATATTTTCCGGGATTTGTGATATCACAAATATTGACGAATGGGACGAGACCTGGTTGAGCTGCACTAGAGAAGGCAACGAGTGTAATATGTCAGAGACACGCTAGCTTTCCCAAGGCAGACGAACTTAGAGTGGTTACAATCATCCGGGTTTAAATTGCGCTCAAATTGATTTGATTTTGAAGCAATATTTACACTGAAGCTCGCAGGCGGCTATGGTAAGGAGCATGACATTTCCTGTCCAGGCGCCGAGTGGAGCCAATCACAACACACACTGGCCCAGCTAGCCAATTACAACACACACTGGCCCAGCTAACCAATCACAGCACATTTTGTATTTCCTGTATCTTCATTTGATACAGGAACTATTCCAGCCGTTCATGCCAGACTGGGGAGAGAGGTGTTGTAATAATGTAAAATATGTGAAAAATAATGTTGAGAACCTAGTATGAGAGCCTGCTCTAGTACACACCCAAAACAAAATCAAGACTTTATAAAAGAGCATAATAAGGACCCCTTTAACGCAGTACACATAGCAAGTTTTTGTTGTTGTTGTTGTTGTTTTTTAATTATATAATTAATAAAAAGAAAACCAATAGAATAGAAAAAGAATAGAGCAAGCTAGTGTTAGAGACCTTTTTTGCTTTTGTTAATTGTATAATAAATAAATAGAAAACAAATAGAATACAAAAAGATTAGATAAGCTAGTGTTTTTTTTTTTAAAGAAAACAAGCAGTTAGTAAATGAATAGAGTGCAAGTCTAAAAGGGGCAAGTTTTTTTAAAGAATAGAATTAGCATAGAGAGTGCTAGAGTTTTTTAGTTTTAAATATAGAGCCAAAATAGTATAAATAAATAATTATTGGCCATAACATGAAAATAATTATTGGCTTATCGGCTTGAATTTTAACATTGTGCATCCCTATTTCCATGAAGCATTGCAAATAACATATCAAAATCGTGACTCTTAGATCAATTCAAATCACATTGGCTTGTGTCTTCTTCTCTGAACAGCCTCAGAGCTCATAGTAGGTCTGTCTTGAATGGTTCATATGTTGTTGTAAATCATTTTCTCTGTGGTGAAAATGAGGTTTTTACTACCGACTGTGGCCTGAAACCCGTCGCTTTAAAAAGATGTAATTTATTGCTTCATGCTGTGTTGTATCACACCTGCTTAGAATTGTGTCTTCAATTTGCGTTCACATGCTAACATCTATGTGTTAGGTGTTAATGGGAAGCCTGGCGTTTGACTTGGGTCCAGTGCAGTATGACAATGATTTACACTCCCTGGTGCCTCTGGCAGCTCAGATCGGCCTGGCAGCGGGGGCCGCGGTGGTCGTTCTCATCGTGCTGGTTATCATTCTCATGTACAGGTAGAGTGAATTCAGATGGCAGATTCCTCACCCTTCTGGGCTTGTCGTCATGACGATGAGCCATGAACTCGCATCCAGCACTCACAAAGAATTCTAATGGTATCCATTTGTCGAGGGTAACACTCTAACCCTGTGTTTGCTCTCACTCACTGTTTCTAAAGGCGGAAGAGTAAACAAGCTCTGAGAGACTATAAAAAGGTTCTGGTGCAGCTGGAGACTTTGGAGATAAATGTTGGAGACCAATGCAGAAAAGAGTTCACTGGTATGATAACACTGTATCTATCTATCTATCTATCTATCTATCTATCTATCTATCTATCTATCTATCTATCTATCTATCTATCTATCTATCTATCTATCTATCTATCTGTCTGTCTATCTGTCTGTCTGTCTGTCTGTCTGTCTAATGTATGTAGTATGTATGTATTAGTTTATTTTTATTATTAATTTTAGATTTAGAAAGATAGATTTCACGTACATGTTTCAAAATGTTTAATTTTACTTTTATTGTTGTAGTAACTATGGTATTTGGGAAGATGAAAAGTGAAAGTGACATGTGGCCAAGTATGGTGACCCATACTTGGAATTGGTGCTCTGCATTTAACCCATCCAAAATGCACACACACAGCAGTGAACACACACACACCGTGAACACACACCCGGAGCAGTGGGCAGCCATTTATGCTGCGGCGCCCGGGGAGCAGTTGGGGGTTCAGTGCCTTGCTCAAGGGCACCTCAGTCGTGGTATTGAAGGTGGGAGAGAGTGCCTGTTTGAGCATAAAAAAGATCTGCGAAGTTACAAAGTCCACTTCAAAAGGAGATATTTTATTGAACAGAAATCACTTTTCAAAAACGACAACGAACAACTCGTTTGGACTACAATACATATTTTCCGGGATTTGTGATATCACAAATATTGACGAATGGGACGAGACCTGGTTGAGCTGCACTAGAGAAGGCAACGAGTGTAATATGTCAGAGACACGCTAGCTTTCCCAAGGCAGACGAACTTAGAGTGGTTACAATCATCCGGGTTTAAATTGCGCTCAAATTGATTTGATTTTGAAGCAATATTTACACTGAAGCTCGCAGGCGGCTATGGTAAGGAGCATGACATTTCCTGTCCAGGCGCCGAGTGGAGCCAATCACAACACACACTGGCCCAGCTAGCCAATTACAACACACACTGGCCCAGCTAACCAATCACAGCACATTTTGTATTTCCTGTATCTTCATTTGATACAGGAACTATTCCAGCCGTTCATGCCAGACTGGGGAGAGAGGTGTTGTAATAATGTAAAATATGTGAAAAATAATGTTGAGAACCTAGTATGAGAGCCTGCTCTAGTACACACCCAAAACAAAATCAAGACTTTATAAAAGAGCATAATAAGGACCCCTTTAACGCAGTACACATAGCAAGTTTTTGTTGTTGTTGTTGTTGTTTTTTAATTATATAATTAATAAATAGAAAACAAATAGAATACAAAAAGATTAGATAAGCTAGTGTTTTTTTTTTTTTAAGAAAACAAGCAGTTAGTAAATGAATAGAGTGCAAGTCTAAAAGGGGCAAGTTTTTTTAAAGAATAGAATTAGCATAGAGAGTGCTAGAGTTTTTTAGTTTTAAATATAGAGCCAAAATAGTATAAATAAATAATTATTGGCCATAACATGAAAATAATTATTGGCTTATCGGCTTGAATTTTAACATTGTGCATCCCTATTTCCATGAAGCATTGCAAATAACATATCAAAATCGTGACTCTTAGATCAATTCAAATCACATTGGCTTGTGTCTTCTTCTCTGAACAGCCTCAGAGCTCATAGTAGGTCTGTCTTGAATGGTTCATATGTTGTTGTAAATCATTTTCTCTGTGGTGAAAATGAGGTTTTTACTACCGACTGTGGCCTGAAACCCGTCGCTTTAAAAAGATGTAATTTATTGCTTCATGCTGTGTTGTATCACACCTGCTTAGAATTGTGTCTTCAATTTGCGTTCACATGCTAACATCTATGTGTTAGGTGTTAATGGGAAGCCTGGCGTTTGACTTGGGTCCAGTGCAGTATGACAATGATTTACACTCCCTGGTGCCTCTGGCAGCTCAGATCGGCCTGGCAGCGGGGGCCGCGGTGGTCGTTCTCATCGTGCTGGTTATCATTCTCATGTACAGGTAGAGTGAATTCAGATGGCAGATTCCTCACCCTTCTGGGCTTGTCGTCATGACGATGAGCCATGAACTCGCATCCAGCACTCACAAAGAATTCTAATGGTATCCATTTGTCGAGGGTAACACTCTAACCCTGTGTTTGCTCTCACTCACTGTTTCTAAAGGCGGAAGAGTAAACAAGCTCTGAGAGACTATAAAAAGGTTCTGGTGCAGCTGGAGACTTTGGAGATAAATGTTGGAGACCAATGCAGAAAAGAGTTCACTGGTATGATAACACTGTATCTATCTATCTATCTATCTATCTATCTATCTATCTATCTATCTATCTGTCTATCTGTCTGTCTGTCTGTCTGTCTGTCTAATGTATGTAGTATGTATGTATTAGTTTATTTTTATTATTAATTTTAGATTTAGAAAGATAGATTTCACGTACATGTTTCAAAATGTTTAATTTTACTTTTATTGTTGTAGTAACTATGGTATTTGGGAAGATGAAAAGTGAAAGTGACATGTGGCCAAGTATGGTGACCCATACTTGGAATTGGTGCTCTGCATTTAACCCATCCAAAATGCACACACACAGCAGTGAACACACACACACCGTGAACACACACCCGGAGCAGTGGGCAGCCATTTATGCTGCGGCGCCCGGGGAGCAGTTGGGGGTTCAGTGCCTTGCTCAAGGGCACCTCAGTCGTGGTATTGAAGGTGGGAGAGAGTGCTGTACATTCACTCCCCCCACCTACAATCCCTGCCGGTACGAGACTCGAACCCGCAACCTTTGGGTTACGAGTCCGACTCTCTAGAAAATGACAGCTTGCACTAATGACGTGCACTTTTTATTCATGCGAATTGAGAGGCACTTTTCGATTAATAATATCCATCACATGCACCATTAAACAGACTTTTCCCCACCCTCCAGATCTGATGACGGAGATGATGGATTTGAGCAGTGACGTTGGTGGTCCTGGCATCCCCTTTCTGGATTACCGCACATACGCAGAGCGTGTTTTCTTCCCCGGCCAGAAGGGTGCGCCGCTGAGTCAGAATCTGGATTTGCCTGATTCTCGCAGACAGACGGTGGAGCAGGGCCTGGGTCAGCTCAACAACCTGCTCAACAACAGACTCTTCCTTATACGGGTCAGTGAAGCGCCTTGTTTTTGCTGTCAGTTCGGCTCTAGCTTCCCTTAGAGGAAAAGTGTAATTACAGTGTTTATGCCGCTGGTGTATTCAGTACGTCAGTGGCTGTTTTTGGAGCCGTTATTTCACCTCAAAGAGTAAACAAAAGATGAAAAAGAAAGCAAATGTAATATTAATTTTGCACAGTATGCGGCTGGATGCCTGTTTAGTGGAAAGAGGGCTTTTTATTATTATCTGCTATCAGACAGCAGCACAGAACTTCAGCATTGAACTTCAGCATTTTAAATATTTATCCATCGTTGCAGTCTGAGGCTTTGTAGAGGTTTTACAACTGCAGTGTTTTGAAAGCTCAAGCTGTTTGATTAAAATTGGTTAAACTGGTATGCTCTTGTAGTGCATTTTAGGCAACATCTAATGGCACTAATGCAGGTAAATTCTGCTCTGGGTTCCTCTAGTTCATTCATACTCTGGAGGTGCAGCAGAGTTTCTCGCAGCGGGACAGAGGTTACGTTGCATCTCTTCTCACGATGGCCCTTCATGACAAGCTGGAATACTTCACAGATGTGATGAAGACCCTGCTGGGGGATCTAGTGCAGCAATATGTGACCAAGAACCCCAAACTCATGCTGCGCAGGTATTGTACATACACTTTTTATTTATTTGGCATACATTTTTTATTGTTATTTTACCCAAAACAACTTGGAGTGCATTCAAGGCATATGTTTTATTAGTACATGTGTTGCTTGAATCAAGTGGCATTGATATTTACTCCTTTATGTTTGGAGATGACACATGAAAATAGTACTAGAAATTACAAGCAATAAATAAATGTATTATTTTCATATTATTTTTTTTTTGTCATTTTTGTCCTCATAAAAACCCAGTAGAAACATATTTTTGAAGATGTAAGCTTGTAGTTTACCACAAAGCAGGTGGTTACGAAATGCGATTTGATTATACTGTATTGTATGTTTGTGTGGTTTTCTAGAACGCATTATTCAATAATATTCAATAGATAATAATAAGCAGACTAATAAGAGACTCCTAGCTTATGAAAATGAATTGCCTCTATTGATGTTTTTACCTGGTGTCTCTAAGACTCCAAGCGGAAATAATGTAACATGTTTCTAGCTCACAATAAATAAATGTATACATTTCAAATGAGTGCATCATGTGTTAGTGTAAAAAAACAACAACAAGCGGTCTGATCCGTCCTGATCTGATTATAGTAAATCTAATCTGTAATCTGAAATGATATTCCACACGTCATCATCTGTAGGACAGAAACGGTGGTGGAGAAGATGCTGACCAACTGGATGTCCATCTGTCTCTACTCATTTCTCAAGGTATCAGAGCATGTGATGGCTTCAATTCTATGTATTTGCGTTGATTGATGAGTGAACAATGAGAATAAATCAGTGTTTGTATTTATAGTTTTAAAATGTGTTATTACTATTATTATTTGTTTATTTTTCACAAGAAATATATTTTAATTGAATCATTGTATTAATTAAGAATAAGAATTTCATTAAAATATATTTCTTGTGAAAAATAATCATGTATTTTATTATTTACGAGATATATATTTTAATAAATAATAATTGTCTATTATAATTATTATTTTAAATAGTTTAATAAAAAAATAGATAATTATTATTATTATTATTATTATGGACTATTTATTTATCTTTTGTGTATTTTCGCCAGGAGGTTGCTGGTGAGCCTCTCTACAAGTTGTACAGGGCTATTAAATACCAGGTGGATAAAGGACCAGTGGATGCAGTGACGGGCAAAGCCAAACGCACTCTCAACGACAGCCACCTGCTCAGAGAGGACATTGAATACTGCTCAGTGGTGCGTCTCTGTAATGCTTCCATCTTAATGCTATACCAAGCAAATCTTCTAAATGAATCTAATAAGGACAGATTTTTGTGTCTCATCTCAGACTCTGACTGTGCTGGTGAAGAGCGGTGTTGAGGTCCAGCCCTGTCCTGTTAAAGTTCTGGACACTGACACCATAACTCAGGTTAAAGATAAAATCCTGGACCAGATATATAAAGGAGCAGCATTCTCCCAAAGACCAGCCGCAGACTCACTGGACCTTGGTACTGTTTTGCTAGAGATATCTAGACAAGTCACCACTACAGTTCAGTTCGTTTGAAGAAACACTTTTTTTGTTGTTGTTAAAGCTTCTTGTTTTGTGTATTCAGAGTGGAGATCAGGCCAGGCGGGTCACCTGACGCTTTCTGATGATGACGTCACAGCCATCATTCAGGGTCGCTGGAAACGGATCAACACTTTACAGCACTACAAGGTACAGCTGGACATTTACTGTTAGGGCTGCACGATAAATCGAAATGGAATCAAGATCGCAATTCGACAGAAGCTGCGAATGTCATGCGTATCTTGTTTTGCTAGAGATATCTAGACAAGTCACCACTACAGTTCAGTTCGTTTGAAGAAACACTTTTTTTGTTGTTGTTAAAGCTTCTTGTTTTGTGTATTCAGAGTGGAGATCAGGCCAGGCGGGTCACCTGACGCTTTCTGATGATGACGTCACAGCCATCATTCAGGGTCGCTGGAAACGGATCAACACTTTACAGCACTACAAGGTACAGCTTGACATTTACTGTTAGGGCTGCACGATAAATCGAAATGGAATCAAGATCGCAATTCGACAGAAGCTGCGAATGTCATGCGTATCTTTCAGTGAAGCACGGTTCTGTGATCAGCAGTAAATCTCCATCCAAAGACCAGAGGGTGCTCTCGCGCTGAAACTCCAAATACGCCTCGCAGAAGAAACCCAGAAAATCGCTGCAGCTGAATAAACAGAAGATTCAACTGCTTTCATTGATTCAACGTGACTAATAAACACACGACTACGGCAATATACTGTTTATCTGAGTTCTTCTTATTATAATTTTAATTAAAATAAAGTATATTTATAATGCAATGCCTTTATCATTGCTTAAATACTATGAAATATGTTGCGTGCCTTATTCTGTGTAAGAAGCCACATCATCTCACAGAAGGATTTATTTCAAACAATCGACTGATGTTATGAAGTCCGTTTTTGGAGTAAAAATATGTTATTAAATGTATTTTCACATGCTTTCAGATTCAAATAGGCAGCCCTATTTACTGTGACTAGAATTTTACATGGAAATTCATTCAGATTGATTAGTTTGCCTATGGGTTGGTTAGTTGATTTGTGGGTTGCTTGGTTTGTAGATTGACTGGTTGATTGATTGCCTGGTTATTTGGTTAGCTGATTTTGTGAGTTGATTGATTTTTTTTAGTTGATTGATTTTGTGAGTTGATCGGTTGATATTGTGTGTTGATTGTTTGGTTGTGTGAATTTATTTTTTGGTTGATTTTTTTTGTTAATTGGTTGGTTTTGTGAATTGATTGGTTGATTTTTGTAAGTTGATTGATTGATTGATTTTGTGAGTTGATTGTTTGGTTGATTTTATTGTTTGGTTGATTTTGTGAATTGATTGTTTGATTTTGTAACTTGATTGATTTTGTGAATTGATTGTTTGATTTTGTAACTTCATTGATTTTGGGAATTGATTGTTTGATTTTGTAACTTGCTTGATTTTGTGAATTGATTGTTTGATTTTGTAGCTTGATTGATTTTGTGAATTGATTGTTTGATTTTGTAGCTTGATTGATTTTGTGAATTGATTGTTTGATTTTGTAGCTTGATTGATTTTGTGAATTGATTGGTTGATTTTTGTAAGTTGATTGATTGATTTTGTGAGTTAATGTTTTGATTTTGAGAGTTGATTTTGTGAATTGATTGTTTGATTTTGTAACTTGATTGATTGATTTTGTAAGTTGATTGATTTAGTGAATTCATTTTGAGTTGATTGGTTAGTTGATTCATTGATCATTTGTTTAGTTGACTTGATTTAGCTCTAAGTCTCTCTCTTCTCTCTTCTCAGGTACCTGATGGGGCCACTGTGGCTCTCATCCCTCGTTCCCAGAGTTCTCTTGGAGTAAATCAGTTTTACCAGACTGGAGAGAGTAAGTTTAATACTTTTTGATCAATCAAAAGTAATTGGCCATCCCTTTTACACTCTATTCAGCAAAAAAAGGATCAATTTCTTCTTGATGTCTGGTCTTGCTTTAGAAACTCCCATGCTGGAGGGAGAGGAGGAGGAAGGTCTTCGTCTGTGGCACCTGGTGAAGCCGAGCGAGGACCCAGAGATCCCCAAACACAGGAAGAGCAGCATGAGAGAGAGGGAGCGGGCAAAAGCCATTCCTGAGATCTACCTTACACGACTGCTTTCTATGAAGGTATGTGAGATGTGTGCGATGGAGTCATCTTTAATAGTGTACTCGCCACATCAAACAAATCCTGCCGTTTCTCATATTTGTTTGAGATCCGTCTTCTGCCGCTGACTGTCGATGTGATTGAAAGCTGCTCTGTGTTTACAAATGTGTATCTTCAGGGCACTCTGCAGAAGTTTGTAGATGATGTCTTTGTAGCCATACTGAGTACAAAATGGCCTCCACCCATCGCTGTCAGATTCTTCTTTGACTTCCTGGACGACATGGCAGAAAAACACGGGATTGACGACCCAGAGACCGTTCACATATGGAAAACAAATAGGTCGGTGGTATTTCCTACATCTTCTAGTTTTATAAAACTTTTTAATGAAGCATTTTAAGAAAACAGTCCCCCCCCCTTCAAATCCATAATACTTAGTACAGCATATCAATTGGGATTAAATATGCCATTTGGAGTGGAAATTTTCACTTAATTATTTTAATTTAATTAGTTTGGTGCTGTTTTTTAAGACATTAATTTTATTTACTCTGAATTATATATAATACTGAATATATAATTTGAATGATTTTTAAAGATCCTTATACAGTAATTACAAATAACTGCAAATATCACGAAAAGGCCCTGAAAATATTTCATTATCTAGTTATTGCTCCTGTGTAAAATTTGCTAAGCTAGCAAATCATTCTTTTGAGTTGTTTCTCCCAAATCAAATTGTTCACTAATTGGTTTGAACAATTAATTACTCAATCAGTCTGAATTACAATGGATTAAATTATTGAAAACCATAGATAATACAAAGATAATGGAAAAGCCCTGGATATTTGTGAAATCTGCAAATGTCTATAATGAATATACATTTTTATACACATTTCAATTTTGTAATATTTCTTTGGCTAGTCATTGCTCGTTTGTGTAAAAAATTTTTTAAAAAGAGCAAATCATTCATTTTTAATTGGTAAAACTGGTTCAGAATTTGGTCTGAATGATTCATTAGTGAATCATTCTGAATTTGAATACTGAAATCTCAGTAATTGCAAATGATTGGAAAGGTCATGGAAATTCATGGAGCAGAAAGTGTGGAACCCTGACATTTCTATGCTGGTTATATTGAATGTAATTAAAATGCGTTCTTGTCTTCCCTACACCTGCAGTTTACCTTTGCGTTTCTGGGTCAACATCTTGAAGAATCCTCAGTTCGTCTTTGACGTGCAGGTGACAGATAGCGTGGATGCCGTCCTTTCCGTTATCGCACAGACCTTCATTGATTCCTGCACTACATCCGAGCACAAAGTAGGCCGGGTCAGTACAGCAATTAACCTCTTGACCTCTCTAGCTGTGACCTCATTATGGTGAGAGTGTGCATGTAGAGCGAGAAGATGAACAAGGGCAGGAAAGGAAAAAAAGGAAATAAGAAAAAGCTGAAAGATGCTGTAGCAGTGAAAGAGCTCATTGTCGTGTGTCTTGTCCTTCAGGATTCTCCAGTGAATAAGCTGTTGTACGCCCGAGAAATCCCACGATACAAGCAGCTGGTGGAGAGGTGAGAAAATCTAAACGTGTAGCAATGCAGCCTTTTGCATTTTTAAGACATGTATTAGCACTGAAATGAATAGAGGATGTTCATGGTATTTAGTGCTATAAAGCTTCTTCCTCTCCTGCAGGTACTACAGTGATATTCATAACGCCGTGTCTGGCTGTTACCAGGAAATGAATTCAACCCTCACAGAGCTGTCAGGGGTGAGACTGGATTGTATTCTATTCTAAATTAAACTCGATTTGACATTTTAACACACAGCAGGGTCCAAAAGTATTAAACCACAGTGAGAATCTGGGATTAAATGTCTAGTTAAAGGGTCATTGACATGACACTCATTCATTGTCCTATTAATTTATTCAAGCATACATAAGCAATTCACATAATTTGCAATTCACACATACAGCAACTTGAATAGTCCTCTTCTGTGATGAGTGTGATCTCTGAATTAAAATTCAGTTTGATTGATCGATTGATTTTGATCAGGTTATAAAATGTGGTGTGTAATTTTTTGAATTAGTAATTGTAAAAAATTACAAATAGTTTTGAATTAGTAGTACATAATATTTGTAAAATTTAAAAAAAAGCCATGTGGTGTGATAATTTATTTAAATTAATAATTGTAAAACAAAAAATATTTTTTAATGAATAGTACATGATATTTAAATGTCATGTGGCATGAAAAACTTTGAATTAATAATTAAAAATATTTTTTAATTAATAATTCATCATATTTGTAAAAAAAAATGGCATGTGGTACTATTAAAAATATTTTAGAATTAATAATACATGACATACAACGGATAATATTTTTGAATGATATTTAAATAAAAACTTCTTACTTTGAATTTACTTTTTGTACTCTTACATGTATTTAAGGTATAAGGAAAATGTGCAATTTTTTATTGAGATTTTCCTTCCTTTTTAAGAAATTAAACTCGATTTGACATTTTAACACACAGCAGGGTCCAAAAGTATTAAACCACAGTGAGAATCTGGGATTAAATGTCTAGTTAAAGGGTCATTGACGTGACACTCATTCATTGTCCTATTAATTTATTCAAGCATACATAAGCAATTCACATAATTTGCAATTCACACATACAGCAACTTGAATAGTCCTCTTCTGTGATGAGTGTGATCTCTGAATTAAAATTCAGTTTGATTGATCGATTGATTTTGATCAGGTTATAAAATGTGGTGTGTAATTTTTTGAATTAGTAGTACATAATATTTGTAAAATAAAAAAAAAAAGCCATGTGGTGTGACAATTTATTTAATTATAGTATAGACAAATTTTTTTTTTAATGAATAGTACATGATATTTAAAAGTCAAGTGGCATGAAAAACTTTGAATTAATAATTAAAAATATTTTTTAATTAATAATTCATCATATCTAAAAAAAAAATGGCATGTGGTACTATTAAAAATATTTTAGAATTAATAATACATGACATACAACGAATAATATTTTTGAATGATATTTAAATAAAAACTTCTTACTTTGAATTTACTTTTTGTACTCTTACATGTATTTAAGGTTCCTATTTAAGGAAAATGTGCAATTTTTTATTGAGATTTTCCTTCCTTTTTAAAAGATTTTTCCTTTTCTTTCTCAAGGACACTTAAACCTGTTTTAAGATTCTGATGACTGTCTGTTTTTAGAGCTTTGCATCTGAGATGAACAATTTGGTGGCGTTGCATGAGCTGTACAAGTATATCAACAAATACTATGATCAGGTCAGTAGAGACTGATATAAGCTTCCTATAATGTTTGTGCTAGAGCAAATTAATATATTCTTCATATTGCATTTTGTGCAGATTATCATGTCTCTGGAAGAAGACGCTGCGGGTCAGAAGATGCAGCTGGCGTATCGGCTTCAGCAGGTTGCCGCCCTGGTGGAGAATAAAGTCACTGACCTTTAGGCTTTGACCTTTCACCTTGTCGTCTAAACTCATCAATAATCACGTTTTATCATTTGTGACCGGCTGATGAAATGCAGTCACTACGTCAAACACTCGTGTGCTTCCACAACCGTTCACATAAACTACCTGCATATTCTTAACAAAAGGGAACAGGAACTGAAGTAATGATCACTTTCTTCCGATGAAACCTTAATGGGAATTTTATTGGAGAAGGATTGCTTTTCAGACTGAGTCTCTGAATGACTCACTGGAGTATTGACTGATGGGAAGTGTGTGTGTGTGTGTGTGTGTGTGTGTGTGCGTGCATGTTTTATTGTGATGTTTTATCTGAAAGGCTCTGCTGTATATGTGAAGTTTACTTAATTCAAATTTTGACACGAGACTATTTTAATCACACTACTGAAGCAGCTCTCACATATTGTGACATGCTGAGACACATTTTATACCATTTTTACTTCCACTCAAATGATCAGATCCACTTTATGGAGATTCATGAACTGGTTCAACGAAACCTTACAGTCATGTCAGCACTGCGGACAAAACCTACATTTACTTCTACTGTACGTGGAGTATTTCGTTCCAGGTTTAGAAAAGTTCTGCTCCTGCACAATCAAATCCCAAACTCAAAGACTGTCCTTGGCCCTGTGGTGTTAACGTTTTATACTAACATTTCTACATTAGTATTGCAGATCAAAACAAGTATTAAGCTTTTACAGGGACTGTAGAGTAAGTCTATGCACACAAGTGCCAAAACAAGTTATAAGAGCACAATATTTATGTGCATGTTATTGTGTAGCTTTAGGTGTGCATGCAAAATAAAAGACGAAAAGTCACAGTTTTCAGGTTTTCCGCTGTTGTTAATATCTAAAATATCTGGAATTTCTCAAAATTGTTAAATGTGATAATCTGAATTTGGTTTGTAGTTCCATTAGCTGGTTAACTTAAGTTCATCAAGAATTAATAAGCCTTCACTCCCATGATTTCTGATAGATCCCTATAAAATATGGGTCCTGGCCACATATTTCGCTCCCAAATCAACAGAAAAAAAACATTTCAGAAATTATACTATATTCTTACACTTTAACTAATATATCATTATTTTTCTTTTCCCAGTAATAGATTTTTGCATTGCTTCTTAATACTTCTCAGAATGTTGCATTGCACAATATCTTTCAATTCAATTTTAATTTCTGATTTTATTTGATTTCGGCATGAAATCAATCCTAGATCTTTGCAGGTTTTGTGAGATTCACCCACACTTACAGTGCATGGCATTGATTTCCTAATGCCTGCTTTGTATTTAATAGCACAAGCGAGCACAATTAAAGATTCAATCTCACGCGTTTTGAGTCTCAGATGAAATTGCAATGCAGCTGGGATGTCCTGTCTCTTGGGAGGTATTGAAACAAAGCTGGGACAGTTTGGGTCATTGGATTTCGGGTTGGCAAATGAAGAAAAGCATCTTTATTCGCTTTGTCCCAATGATTAGAAAAGCAGCAGTCGGATTGAGAGTTGTGCTCATCAGACACTGAATAGAAATGAACTTATTATATTGTAAATAATGCTTATTTATACGTGACCGCCAATGTGCCTTCTTTGTTACTTTTTATAACGTCTACACTTTAAGTAAACATGCTTGACATTACTTGCCAAATGGAGGAAAAGATGAACTGTGGCACAACTGTTGCCTGTTGTGAAGATCATACAGGGCTTTTAGTCTCTGGACTGCAGCGCGTCTCAGGATTATAGCCGTCGATCTCAATGGATTCAATATAAAACCATGTGTAGCTCAATCATTTCTAGTTTGCCCTACCGGCTCATTTCCGATCTGTATTCACCTTGTCACAAGTGATGATGGTGTAAATTAATTTTTTTTTTTTTTTTTTTGTGCATCCATGCTTTTAAGCTTCTTAAAATCGTCATGATTTGTTTTTGCCTGAAGCACTTTGTGGTTAAATTTTGGCTCACCCATAATGTCAAATAAATTTTGTAGTTTGATCATGAAGCTGATGTCATATGCTTTAACATGATCCCTTTTATCTGTAGAACTGAAAATAATGAATTTAATGCTATCTGGACATCTCAAATGCATTTTTGAAGGCTTCCCTGTTCCTGCATTTATTTGTGAGATTTTGAGCTATTACGCTTCATCATATTAATGTATGCACAGAGTTGTGTTTTAAAAATGTATTAGTTTGCTGTATGTTTATTAGCCTGTTGTTGAATGTGTTTGGCCTCTCAGTGTATTTTTTGATTATTATAGGCTGATGCATGCTTGAGATTTGATTGGATTTTCTGATTGGGGTGCTTTATGAGAGGTTCACTCGATGGACTGCATTATGAGTGCATGACTCTCATAAAAACCCTCCTCAGAAGAAAGTGTGTGTGCATGAGAGTTTGTAAGTATTTGTAGCGCTTCGTACATGATGGTGAGGTTTTTTGGCGAGTCTCCTGTTATGGACACTTTTCTCTAAGAGAATCCAGCCAAACCTTCTTTTTGTACATTCTTGCGATTTCCTGTTTTGCCAGTTGTGTGGAATATGGCTTTGTATCTTTGCAGATATATAATTCAGACCATTGTTTAGAGAATTGTTGGTGTATATGGAGCCCTTGCCCGGCACCGAGTTTTACACAACTTTTATACAAGGGTAAAAAAATAATAATATATGGTAATTTTCTAATGAAGTTGGGATTAAATAAGAAACTTAAACCCAGTCTAAAGACGTACTCTTTTGTTTTTGTATTGTGTATAGTTTGCTAACAATTGTGTATATGTGCCTGTACATATTTGTGAAGAGGACTTGTTCTTTTTTTTTTTTTCTTCAAACTTGGACAGACTTACTCTCTACATTCAGGAGAAATTGGGAGCCAAAATGTTGAAATGAGTGAAATGGAAATTTGTATCTGGAAAAAATAAAGCTATAATTTTAACAATGAAGACATTGTGTTTACTGGTTTGGATTTTGTATATCTGTAGACAGCAGAACAAAAGTGTCTGGGACAGTATTTTAAATGGGTGGATCCATCTGGGCTGAATGACTTAAACTGACATGTCAATAACAAAAAAGGAGGATTTTGGTTCAAATTCTGAGCCATTTCTACAAAAACATACGACATAATTTCTTGCTTTAAATTATAAACACGAGAATGTACAAATATTTTACTTTGTGTTCACTGAAAAGGATAAGATTTTAATGCTTGAGGTGGGAAAATGTTTAATATATATGCCTAATAATAAATGTTTTCTAAAATAATTAAATATAGTAGAAAAAAACAGGTTACTAACATAAATCAAAATGAAAAACCTAATGTACTTTTGGTAAAATAAAATGAGCTCATCCAAAAATTTGACCCTCAGGTCATCAAATATGTAGAGGAGTTTGTTTCTTCATCGAAACAGATTTGGAGAAATTAAGCATTACGTCATTTGCTCACCAATGGATCCTCTGCAGTGAATGGGTGCCGTCAGAATGAGAGTCCAAACAGCTGATAAAAACATCACAATAATCCACACCACTCCAGTCCATCATCTTGTGAAGTGAAAAGATGCATGTTTGTAAGAAACAAATCCATCATTAAGGCATTTTAACTTTAAATCATCACTTCTGGTCAAAATACAAATCCATAATCTATAATAAAGCTTCCACCAATGAAAAAGTCCATCCCCTGTTGTCCTTTCACATCAAAATCCACCCTCATATTTGTTTAGAACTGTTTAGGACTGTTTTTGCTTTTTCATGGTGTTTAACCTTTGCATATTTCTCTCCTGATTCAGATAAGATGACTTTTTCACGAGAGAAAGCAATATTATGGATAGAGGACAAAACACAGTTTTTCACTTCACAAGATGTTAACTGATGGACTGGAGTGGTGTTGGTTACTTGTGGATTATTGTGATGTTTTTATCAGCTGTTTGGACTCTCATTCTGACGGCACCCATTCACTGCAGAGGATCCATTGGTGAGCAAATCATGTAATGCTACATTTCTCCAAATCTGTTCCGATGAAGAAACAAACGCAACTAGGCTACATCTTCTTGGAGTAAATTTTCAGCAGTTTTGGTGTTGGTTACTTGTGGATTATTGTGATGTTTTTATCAGCTGTTTGGACTCTCATTCTGACGGCACCCATTCACTGCAGAGGATCCATTGGTGAGCAAATCATGTAATGCTACATTTCTCCAAATCTGTTCCGATGAAGAAACAAACGCAACTAGGCTACATCTTCTTGGAGTAAATTTTCAGCAGTTTTCATTTTTTGTGTGAACAATTCCTTTAATGCTTGCTGAGGTCAGCCTGACATATTGGCAGAAATAACAAAAAGGATTTTTGTTCAAATTCTGAACAATTTTAACGAAAATTGTGACAATGTCTGGTTTAAGATGAGAAAAAAACACGATCATTTGCATGCATTTTGTTCTGTTTCACTAATTAAGTAAGATAACGCTTTAATGCCTTAAGTGGAAAAAATATGTTTTGTTCGACGTTTAGTATGTGCCTAATGTTCAGAAAATATTTAATCGCGGTGGGCATGATCTGCAGGTTGTGGCGGCCCCCGATGTCCTCGCGCAGTCCCTTTTCAATCGCACGAGATGCTGTCAACACAGCGCTGTCTGACTGCGCATGCGCAGAACCAACTGAAGCGAATGTGCGTGAGGTGACAGCTGTCCCGATGATATCGATGAACGGTGAGAGTGTTTTCATTAAAAACCAGCCAAACAGCCCTAAATATGTTTATGTCTGTGGATGTATTACATGTCTTGAGGATAAATACAACAATGTCGGCTTATCGGAGGACTAAAAGGACGCTTGTTTTGATGACTAGAGCCCGTGTTAGCGGTAAAGCTAAGCGTGAGCACGTTTAGAGGATCTAATGTTTGGATTTTCTCTGATTTTTACCCCATTTCAATTATTCGGTTGTTTATTAATAAATGCATGGGATCAATAAAGTCATGTAGCCTGCTGACGATGTGATATCCTCGATTTTGTTGGTGGATTGTCCTCCATTAGTTGCTCATATGTAGTGAATTGGGGGTGGGGGTGCCTATAACAGCATGTCTAATATATATTATGTTATATGATATTCTCTCTGATGCATGGCAGTATCCAGCAGCGATAACAGCCTTCCCCAGAACAGCCACGGCAAAAAGCAGAAGAAGAAAAACAAGAAGCACCGCAAAGCAGCGGCAGCAGCACTGGAGATCTCTAGTTTGGAGCTGGGGTGAGTGTGTCTAACTGGGCAGGATCCAGATCTGGGTTTCTGCTCTGTGAGATGCTGCTAAAAATATATAGGAGGGTGGCCATGGGAGTCACTTCTCCAGATAAGCATATTGACTCATGGCCCTCCCTCCCAGTCCATGCATGTGGAACCTATTTTATCACACCCTTGGAAAAAGCGTAACAATACACATTAGGTACATATCATAGGTAAGAACAACAGATCTGTATAGATATTATCCAAAATTCCGATTTCCCCACATTTATTCATTTAGTACATGCTGAAAACTAGTATGGTCAGATGAGGAGAAATGCAAGCGATTCAATTGTATTAGCAGTGCTGTGATGCAAAACTTCAGAAGTAGGCCAAAATAGCATGAAGATGCATAGAGCAGATGTGTATGTGCTTCCCCTACATAAACATCACATGCTCTTAGTATCGAATTCTAAGACGACATTATATTTACACCTTCTGCTTTTATTACCGTTTGTCACATAACACAGGCAAAAAAATGACACACTTTTAATTTGGCATTTAAATTATCAGTAATATTCATTAATACTGAATAATGATATACTGTTGTTATACTATTCCATTGATATAATAGTCAGAACGATTAATCGGACAATATTTTGATATGTAACTGTGTGTCAATCAACCAGTTTTTTCAGAAAATACAAAAAACTGTTTGTAAATATTGTATGAATTTTTCACACAGCTGTAGGAACAACACCTACTTCTACGTCACTGCCTGTTTAGCCCCGCCCACCAATTCACGCATGTAGTGTAAATCAGTGTTGCCCAACCTTCTTTTAGCACCCTTTGGAAATTTTAACAAACTTGTGGCACCCTACAAAATTAATTTTGTCACAATATTTGAATTTCTAACTTCGATACGATAATTTGAAAAGTATAGATATTCGGTACAACAGGGAAGAACTGCAGAATATAATGTCATACAGATATTTTTAATATTATAAAAAAAAGTGTGTCCATCAATGGTGGCAATCAGTAGGCTAATTTCTAATGAAGAGACCAATTTATATGACTTTGATTTTAATGTAAGCTTTTATACATATGTAAACATTATTTAATTACCATTATAACTAGCTATCTCACAAATTTTTGCTGACTCTGTGTTTTTTTTAATTTTACAGTGGGGTAATTTTGGTGCAGTAGCACGAGATAGCTTGATTTCAAACTTTGAATTGAATAAAAAAAAATGACAAGCAGTCGGTAATAAAATAAGAACAAATAAAGAAATGAATAATGATAGCACAAATAAAAAATAACGACAGGCCTTCGAATTAAACAAATTGCTTTTTAGTTTTTCAGGTAGGGTTAAGATATTTAACTTTTTTTTTACCAATTATCCAAATAATGTTTAGTCCTAGAAAGCTATTATTATCAGAACATGCAAGCATAACATAACGGTTAGCAGATCAATGAATGAGAGGGCAGATTTACCAGAGTTGCCCATATACCACACCATGTTACAACACAGTAGGGCTATTGCAGACAGAAACAATACTGTACTACATCCATGTTTCCTGTCGGCTCAATTATTGAGTGGACTTTGCTGTTCCGATTCGCATGAACGGTATACGAGTGGAGCGACTGAGCGGAGCACACACACGCATAGAGCGGGATAATACGCAGAGCGTCACACCGCGTGAAAGTGAAACCTGAGCGGGGAACTAATTTTCGGCAGCCGAAATTTCAGTGCATCTCTAATTATTGGCGACATCAGAAATGGATATTATATAGTAGATGCTTTTTTGAACATTTTAGCAATTTAAAAATATTAAAAAAATGATTTTTTTTTTTTTTACACGGCACCCCTGCTCTCGACAGATGGCACCCCGGTTGGGAAACACTGGTGTAAATAACAAGAGAGGCAAACGCAGCTCTACGTAGAAACCAAACGACAAAGATGCTCTGAAGACAACAAGACACTGTGCAGAGTTGTGGAAAAACTCTTTGTCTTTGAATTGCTTTCCTTCTGATCTCAACATTAGGAAAGAGTGGATGAAGTTTATTTTTAATGAAGATCCAGACCTCGTCAGTAAGAACTTGGTGCTTTATTCACTTCATTTGACCACGGATTCATTTACAAACAAGGCACAATTCGATGCAGGATTTTCAGAAAGACTGAAACTAAAAGACAATGCTATGCAGAGTATATTGTATCTGACAGTAATGTCGCACCACACAAGTGTAACTTTTTTATTATGTGGTCACTATTGCTTTGTCTGTTACTACAGATCGTTTGATATGTATATGTGTTTTTATGCGTTTTTAACTTAAACCACAGCAGCATCCAAGGGTGAAGGCTGTAAAACATACACAACTTTTAGCCAATCACAGCAGTGGGTGTTTACTTCCGAGTCGACAATCCTCCACGCCTATTCAAACAGAGCGTTCCGATGTGGGGGTCAAAACAGGACAGAAAGTAGCCTATTACTTCTAAATTCCGATGTTTTTTGATGTAAAAATTTTGATAACATTATAAGTAGACCTCGGAGAACAGAGCAAAAATTAATTTTCAGCATGTACCTATAAATTAAGTCCTTAAATATAATAATAATATTAATTCTACTTATCTCTACTCTTATCACAGTGGACATGAACTTCACTCTGTGGCCCCAGATGTCTGAATGTTCTTGTGCATTACAGTGTGTGCATAACACATTATATGTTTATGTTGGCCATTGTATTAGCCACACTGCTCTTTAGATATCAGCATCAGGAAAAACCCATATTGGTTGGCTACAGTTGCTAACCCCTTTAGATGTACTTATTGGCCATTTAATAAAAGCTAGATAGACTGAGACACAGTGCGGCTTTATATTAAGATGGTGCATTGATGTTTTGAATTGCACAGATGGTTGAAGACTATGTGCTTCGAGTGAAATCATAAGCCCTAGATATGAAAGTCCCAGCTGGAGATTGCTTATGAAAAGTAGTAGAATTAGAATTAATAGAAAGTAGTTGTCATCAGGGAATCTTGATTATAAATAGTAACATTCTGCTCCTTTAAATATAGCTGCATTTGCCATAGACAACAGACAAGTGATGTTTTGTAGAAAAATGTAGTTTCACACAGGATGTCAGCCACCAGATGTTGTATTTAAAATCTCTTCTTCTTATATTTCTTGCTCTACAGACCCCAGATCCCCTCCTCCGATGAACTGTGCCACATCCTCACCATCCACAGATCCACCATCCCTCCAGAGTCGCCCCCGACGTCCCCGTTAAACCTTTCCCAGAGTCCTCCAGACCTGCAGACTCCGGCCCACATCCCTCACTCCATTCCCATCACAGTGGTTTCCTCACCCAGTGTCCTCTCGTCTCCAGACACATCTTCCACTCCCATAGCACCTTCACTGTGTCTACCTGCCGTTCTCTCCACGACTCCTCCCACTACACAGGCCCCGGCCAATCAGACGACCCCACCACAAGCTCTGAGCCCTCCCCCTCCAGACTTTTCCCCGCCCCCAGCTGAATTACTCGGGTCAGATGATGAGGAGCAAGAGAATCCGTCAGATTACTGTAAAGGTAGGATGATCATAAGAAATAGTTTTTAAATTGATATTTGCTTTATGGCTGTAATAAAGTCGTTCAACTTAAAGAGGCGATATCACCAATACATAATGTGGAAAAATCAGAGGTGGAAAGTAACGAATTACATTTACTCGCGTTACTGTAATTGAGTAGCTTTTTTGTGTACTTCTACTTTTTAAAGTAATTTTTTTAATCTGTAATTTTACTTTTACTGAAGTATATTTTGTTTGAAGTATTGTACTTCGCTACATTTTAAAACACATTAATTACTGAGTAAAAAAAAAAAGCTCCCTGGAAACTACTGCAGTAAATAATGGTCAGGAGAGCAAACTGGTGCTAAAATCACAATAAAGATGCAGACGGACAAGACAGGCGTTATGGTGCAGACCCAGCTGAAAACAAAACCCCGTCATATTCTGCTGAATTTGAACTCGAAGGAAATGAATTGAACCCCTGGCCATATTTATGTTCTATTATGCAGTGTAAACTGTGTTTGCCTAGGGAGACCAAACTAGCAGCTTATAAAATCTCGACATCAACCCTTCGCAAGCATGTAGAGGTAAGGTTTGCATCGTTGCATTGGTGGTTAAAATGAAGCTTTGACAGTTTAGCAAAAGGGTTTGCACGAATTAGCCAAAAAGACAGTGGTGCAGGGTGTGCGATTATATATCGTCTGCGATAATATCGTAATTGTTGTTTTAACGATGTGCGATTTGACATTATCAGTATTTTGCCAAAAACCAAACAAAACACTCCTACAGAGTGCCCTGAAGTATAGTATTAGACTAGTGCGCGTGCGCATAGAGTGCGTTCTTTCACTGCGTGATTCAGTCTGTTAAAATGCATTTAGAATGATCACAAAATTGAAGATATAGGGGCAGAAGATTTATATATTTATATAATTTCATATAATAAATTAATATCACACGTAGAGTGCCGTTTTTTTTCCTCCAAAATTCAGCATGATTACATATAGATGATTTTTTTTACAACAGTTCAATAAACAAGAAGTTAATTAAGAGGCTTGAGTTTTGACTCCATATTGCCTGTTTTTGCTCTATTTCGACAACAAAAATAATTCCAAACACAGCCACCACAGCACAGTTTTGCGTCTTTGAGCAATGACGTTGTTTCGTTCCTGAATGAATCAACCGTTTAAATGATTTGGTTCAAACGCAATGACTCACTTATTAACAGTGACTTGATGCCACCTACTGGCAGTTTTAATTTCACATTTAAAGTATCTTTTTTTTTTAAATATATAATTTCAAATGAGTATTCAACATTTTATGTCTTATATATCAAAACATTATTTCTGCATTTGTAACTGCAGGTTAAATGCATTAATGTCCTGCATTAAACAGTGTGTAAATACATCTAAATGCCACTTCAGATGAAGCTTCTGTGTTTCCTCTGCATTGAAAAGATGGATTTTGTTGATACTGATTTAATTTGCCTGGTAATAGCCCAAGTGTCTTATTATTCTAAATAACTGATTCCTTTAATTAAAAACAACTGGTTTGAGATTTATAGGCCTATCCCAAGGGTGTCAAACTCAGTTCCTGGAGGGCCGCAGCCCTGCAGAGTTTAGTTCCAACACGCATACCATTTAGTTTTGAAATAAGCCTAAATGATTAGATTAGCTGGATCAGATGTGTTTAATTAGGGTTATATCTAAACTGCAGGGCTGTGGCCCTCCAGGAACTGAGTTTGACACCCTTGGCCTATCCCATTTTCGCCTCCCTCCCACTGTTAAAATGTAACTAAGGGTGCTTTCACACCTGGCTCATTGTTTCGGAACCTGGCGCATTTTCCCCCTTAGCTCGGTTCGTTTGGGCATATGTGAACACGGCAATCGCAATCGGATCCGCGCCGAAACAATCGGTCTGAGATCGCCTGAACGAGGTGGTCTCGGCTCGATTGAAAACTGGAGTTCGGCTCGAACTCTGGAGCGGTTCGGTTGTAGTGTGAAAGCAATCCGATCTAACAGACCAACGCAACCAGGCTATATCACAATGTATAATGGGTAATTACGTAAGTTCCGTGAAAAGCATTAGCTTTGTTGTTTTGCTAATACTTCAAAATGAACCTGTGAATGTCTGTGGGTGTGCACGTCTTCGCCATTCAAAATAAAAAAGCGCACTTTTTCATTTTATAATGCCGTCTTATTGCTCTTCTTCCTAGTAGGTGCATTTTAAAAATGTTTTCACAATGAATTCTGGACTCCTGCTCAAAAAAAAAAAAAAAGCTGTTGTCATTCCATCCTGACGGATGACATGCGTGACAGCTGCGTGGAATCCCGGAAAATAAACCGTGGAACTTTGACCAATGAGACAACCGTTTACTCGCGCGTGACTTGTATTGACAAATTTGGTCCGTTTAGAAACTTTGCAGTGTGAAAGCGAACCGCACCGAGAATAAAAAGCAACATTGTAATAATTTTAATCCCTGTTTCGGAAAATCGCAATCGATCTACAGGTGTGAAAGCACCCTTAGTTCCCAGTCTCAGTTCATAGTCTAGTCTAGTCTTGTAATTGCCTGTTACCTCAATCTTTCCTGTGTATCTTGGATTAACCCCTCTTTCCACAAAATATGTAATGATATGTATCTCATCACAGTTAATTTTGCTGAAAAATTTATAAAATATTTAAAATATTAAAATATTATTTTAGAATGCCTGTTTTTTTTTTGATAATCCAGTGAATTAATTACTTTCCAAGATTCAAGATTTTTTATTTGTCACATACATGGTTATATAGAGAATATATGACCAGCAGTGAAATGTAAGTCAGGTCCGCTCCATGGACAGTGCAATTATTAAAGAATACAAACACAAGAAAATTATATATAAATATAGGTATGGAAAAAGTAAGATTAAAAAAATAAAATGCGCAGGACAGTATACTGTAGACTTAATAAATATTTAGATGAGCAGGAATGTACAAGAGGAGAATGTGCAAACAGGTTGTACAGGGTAGTTACATAGCAGCAATAGGGGTAAAAAAGTAAAGAAATAAAATATAACAGAGATTGCTGTGTGCAAGTGACAATGTCAGTATATTAAGTGTCTTACTGATAATTAAGTGAAGTCATGTTGGTGTTAAGAGACTGAGTTTGAGTTTAGGAGCCTGATGGCCTGCCGCGCCGAAACAATCGGTCTGAGATCGCCTGAACGAGGTGGTCTCGGCTCGATTGAAAACTGGAGTTCGGCTCGAACTCTGGAGCGGTTCGGTTGTAGTGTGAAAGCAATCCGATCTAACAGACCAACGCAACCAGGCTATATCACAATGTATAATGGGTAATTACGTAAGTTCCGTGAAAAGCATTAGCTTTGTTGTTTTGCTAATACTTCAAAATGAACCTGTGAATGTCTGTGGGTGTGCACGTCTTCGCCATTCAAAATAAAAAAGCGCACTTTTTCATTTTATAATGCCGTCTTATTGCTCTTCTTCCTAGTAGGTGCATTTTAAAAATGTTTTCACAATGAATTCTGGACTCCTGCTCAAAAAAAAAAAAAAAAGCTGTTGTCATTCCATCCTGACGGATGACATGCGTGACAGCTGCGTGGAATCCCGGAAAATAAACCGTGGAACTTTGACCAATGAGACAACCGTTTACTCGCGCGTGACTTGTATTGACAAATTTGGTCCGTTTAGAAACTTTGCAGTGTGAAAGCGAACCGCACCGAGAATAAAAAGCAACATTGTAATAATTTTAATCCCTGTTTCGGAAAATCGCAATCGATCTACAGGTGTGAAAGCACCCCAAGTAATTTTTACTTTTACTTGAGTAGATTTTTAGACTGGTACTTCTACTTGTACTTAAGTAAAATTTCATTAATGTAATGGTACTTTTACTTGAGTAGAATATTTTCGTACTCTTTCCACCTCTGGAAAAAATATGTAATGATATGTATCTCATCACAGTTAATTTTGCTGAAAAATTTATAAAATATTTAAAATATTACATAACCATTTTAGAATGCCTGTTTTTTTTTTGATAATCCAGTGAATTAATTACTTTCCAAGATTCAAGATTTTTTATTTGTCACATACATGGTTATATAGAGAATATATGACCAGCAGTGAAATGTAAGTCAGGTCCGCTCCATGGACAGTGCAATTATTAAAGAATACAAACACAAGAAAATTATATATAAATATAGGTATGGAAAAAGTAAGATTAAAAAAATAAAATGCGCAGGACAGTATACTGTAGACTTAATAAATATTTAGATGAGCAGGAATGTACAAGAGGAGAATGTGCAAACAGGTTGTACAGGGTAGTTACATAGCAGCAATAGGGGTAAAAAAGTAAAGAAATAAAATATAACAGAGATTGCTGTGTGCAAGTGACAATGTCAGTATATTAAGTGTCTTACTGATAATTAAGTGAAGTCATGTTGGTGTTAAGAGACTGAGTTTGAGTTTAGGAGCCTGATGGCCTGGGGGAAGAGGCTCCTCCTAAGTCTCTCGGTTTTTGCCATCAGGCTACGGAAGCGCTTACCAGATGGCAGCAAAATGAAAAGACAGTTACCAGGGTGGTTGGAGTCCTTGATGATTTTAACAGCTCTACTTTTGCAGCATTTGAGGTAGATGTCCTGTAGAGAGGGGAGAGCAGACCCTGAGATGCGCTCAGCTAAGCGCACAACTCTCTGCAGGGCTTTGCAGTCTTGACTGGAGCTATTCCCAAACCACACTGTTCCAAACGAAAAGCCCTTCATTTCGTCATTTTCTGTTTTTATTTGGAACATTATTGATGCAAAACAAAAAATGTGATTATTCATAAATAAAATAAATCTGGTATCAGTGCAAAACAGTGGTATTCTAGTATTATTTATGAACTATTATAGTTTTTTTTATATTTTGAATTAGATTTATTTTTACATTTTCAATTATCTTTTTAATTTCAGTTTAGTTTTGAGTAATTTTGTTAATGCTTTTGTCATTTTTAACTATTATTATTTAGGTTTAATTTATTTTTATTTCAGGGCAGCATTTAAAGATTTTCATTTAGTTTAAGTTTTTCATATAATATTAATATTTTATTTAATATTAATTTCAGTTAACGAAAATGTTTTTAGTTAACGCTAATAATTCTGGTGCAAAAACAGCTTCACTTTATGAAACAAAAGATTTAGAACAGTATATTATTATAAAGCTAATATTACAAAACAAATAGTTCCATTCTGATTGGATGACCTACATTTGAAGCTGTTGTAAAATAGCTGCTATATGTTTTAATGCAGCAATAGTAGATAATGACTGGCTGAATGGATGTTATGTAACAATACTAGATTTTTTTCAGGAGGGTATTATCCAGTGAAGATTGGAGACCTGTTTAATGGCAGATATCATGTGGTCAGGAAACTGGGATGGGGCCATTTTTCCACTGTATGGCTGTGCTGGGATCTACAGTGAGTATTTTTATGTTGGATGTACTTGAATCATAATCCCTGGGATTAAACTGCTGGAACTAGATCTCTCAATATTGAGATGTAACCCAATGTCAGATTATGGATTGTCAGCCAGATAGTCATGTATGGATTGTCAACTGAACATGCTGTTTGACTGTCTGTATGAATTCAACAATATATGACACTTGTCTGTAGGCGGAAAAGGTTCGTGGCACTGAAAGTGGTTAAAAGTGCCCAGCACTACACTGAGACTGCACTAGACGAGATTAAACTACTGAAATGTGTAAGTCTGGGGACTGAATACATTAGCATTTTTTATAAAACATTTTTTTTAAAGATATATATTATGACAGAATTTTTCCTTAGGTGCGAGACAGCGACCCCACAGACCCCAAACGAGAAAGGATAGTTCAGCTCATTGATGATTTTAAAATCTCTGGTGTCAATGGTGTTCGTATCCTTTACTGCTTGCATCACATGCTCATGTTGGTTCGACTTTTATGTGAATACTGTTTTGTGTTATTCAAATTTAAAATTTCTTGGTTTCTTTTTTCTCAGGCCCTATGAAATCTTTTTTTCCTCACAAATTTCATTAAATTTTTTTCAGTGTTTTTTTCCATTTTAATGGGTTAATTAAATGTTAATAATAAAAAAGCATGTATAATCAGTTTAATTAATAAAACTTTAACAAGTGAATAAGTCTTTTAAAATGTTAAATGCGAATATATCAGTATCTTTACACAGAAAATTTTTATTTTTTTAAGATACTTTTTAAAAAATTTTTGTCAAATCTGCGCAATTTTCTTTTTTTAAATGTATTTTTATTATTAATATTAATAGAATTAATATAATAATATGATATATTTCTCATCATTTCTTAAGGTTAAAGAATGTTTATTTTGGTGGTTTGTTGTGTGTATTTTACAATTTTTTGGTGAAAAGCTTATGAATTGAACTTTAAGAGGAACTCTGGAGAGGAAGTTCATGTGTAGTTTCCACATATAGTGAGATGGTGGATGCTGAAAACCCCATGAGTATTACCAGCGATTGAGTATCTATAGCAGACGAAACTGTGCAGCTCATTTGCTTTGGGACATGTACATGGCGCAATCATATTTCCCTAGCTGTCCATTTGTGGTTTATTAATCACAGACTCTGTCCTTGACTCGCTGACCTCTCAGATGTGTGTATGGTACTAGAAGTGCTTGGCCACCAACTGTTGAAATGGATCATCAAATCCAACTACATGGGTTTGCCTCTGGTCTGTGTGAAGAGCATTCTTCGACAGGTGCGTTTGTTTTACATTCATATTGACATAAAAAATGTCCAGTCAAATAGCAAATACAATTTGCAGATAGCAAATACACATTGCAGCTCCATAAAAACCGTGGGAGTGATTCATAGGTGTCTTATTTCTCTTCTTCAGGTTCTCGAGGGCTTGGATTACTTGCACACGAAATGCAAGATCATCCACACAGACATAAAGCCAGAGAATATCCTGCTGGATGTGAATGAGGTGTATGTGAGACGGCTGGCATCGGAGGCCACGTTATGGCAGAAGGCTGGAGCTCCGCCCCCTTCTGGCTCCTCCGGTATAGTTCTTTAATTTTACGTGTGTGACTCACATCAGGCTCACCTGAAACTCATCTTAGTATCACATGAGACATACATAACAGTCCCTTTAGACTTATGTATGACTCATTTAATGCTTGCATAATAAATACATTCATTATTAAATTAAAGAAACGGTATACATTATATTCATATAAAATGATGAACAGCATACAATGACATAAACCAGGGATACTCAAAGTCTGGTCTACTGCACATCAGGGAGACTACTGAGTGGTCCGCCACTACAATCCAGAGTTATTTGGGAAGTCAGTTGCGTGTCTGTGCAGATAAAACTACATGACTCCCACTATAATCAATCTGTCTGAACGCTTTTAATGGGAACGTTCTAGTTTTGTCTCACTACTGCTCATTTCCAGCCTTGATCATTGTAATGCAGTTCATTTTGTTGCTTGCAGTTTAGACGGTGTAAAACAGACATTTAGATTACAAATAGACATTTTTTTTTCTTCAATGTGTGACTGGACTGAATTTGCCTTTGTCTCTGTGTATTTGTATTTGTAAACCTCCGAATCAGATTTAAGCATCATTCTTGACTTTACACGTGAACTATAATGATTTTGTTTTCTTCGATATGAAGATATTTACATGAATGAAATAGTTGCAAGTTCGTTTATGAATTTTATTTTATTTTCAAGTCGGCATTAAATGAGAGTTCACCCTATCTATTTTCTAAATTCAAGTTTTTGATCTTGCTGTGAATTGTTTGCATATTTCATTTTTGAATACTTTTGACCTTGCGATTTTGGTCAGGCTTCTCTCTGGCGACGTGCGTCAGACTTCTCCAATCTTTTAGTCCTTTTAAAACCAGACCCTTTTGTACAATCGACTTCAAGCTTGCATTCAGATCTGCCTACAGATCCGCTTAAAGATCTTTCCAATAAACAACTGATTGATAGAACCAAGTTTTACAGCATTGATGGGCAGTATTTTTCGTACAGATTTGCCATTCTGTGGATTTTAGCCGAAGCACACAGTTGTGATTTTTTTTTTAAGTTTCAAAGGTAAGAAAGCAAATAAGAAAGTCATTTGGGTGTGCTTTTAATGTTGAATCGACTACAGATGTGCCATTATAATGATCTGCATGCTGGTCGTCATTTCTCCTCTGCTTCTGTGGTGAATATGCCAATCATTTCTCATTTCTTCTCTGTCGTCTGTTTGGTTTCTAACTGGAGTCCTATCTTTTCTTTCTCTGTTTTCTTTTTATTTTAAATTATTATAATTATTATCATTGTGGTTTTCTGTCCCTTCCCTCTTTCCTCTTCTGTTCTGACGGCAGTTAGCACGGCACCAAGGGAAAAACAGGTATGTTCAGAGTTGTGCCTGCTGAAATACAGAGAGGATGTAGTTTGTCCTGGTGAAAATGACACATGACTGTTTTAATCTGCCTGCTGTACCCTAACCCACCCTTGCCTATGCAGATAGACAGGCATGAACCTCTGGGAAAGGGGCAAATCTCCATGGCTGGGGTCAGATCCACTGATCTGGGGAAAGAGAATGCAACCTATGCTCAAAATATGCTTGAATGCACCGTTTTGTCTGATAACTGATCTTAAGCCGGTGTGTAAAAACACATAGAGTATATGTTTAAATACTCTGTGCATGGAAAAAGCATTTCTTTCGGTTTCACCCAGTCAGTGGATTTGGTCTTGACGCTCTTTGCTGTCCCACAGATGTGTTGATTTTACACCGTTAACTGCTAACTAACAATATTAGACCTTTAAAAGGTGTTTGCATGCTGGAGCATTAAACCAGCTAGCTATCTTTCTATCTAAGATATCTATCTATCTGCTCGTTCTGCATTTCGATTCATTTCCCCCTTTTATTCTTTAGAAGAAAAGTTAAAACTGACTATTTTAGAAGTGAGAAAAGAGCAGTGCAGTAAGCTGTTCTCAGACAGGAGCATTATCTTTTCTCACGTCATGACAGCCAGACAGAGATCCGCTGTGTTCCCGCTGCCTGTATTCTGCTTTTCTTATTTCAACCACCACCTCTGCATGGTTGAGAGTGATTTCACGAATTACTGTCACATTTTCCTCCCTTCTGCATACAAATGTGTTGAATGGCAAAAAGCAAGGCTGTCTACGCCACTGAGATGAGGAAAGAAAGGTCGAAAAGAACAAGATATCTCAAAATGATTAGCTTTGGACAGTATTATATTCTTGGAAAGTATTTCATTTTTAAGACCAAAACAGATAGTGAATTTTATGTTTAAAGTCCTCGATAACCAGTATGCCTAACTGGCTTTTAATAAAATAAATAAATAAAAATAATATTCAGTGCTGTGTCAATACTAAAATAAGAAATAAAATTACTAGTGCATTTTAATCTTTATTTTGCTCTATATTAAATGTTAGGCTACAGATTTCATACTTGATGAAATTTTTTTTCTGCATGCCTCAGGTCAATTTATTATTATTATTATTATTATTATTAATAATAATAATAACAACAAAAACATATTGATAATGATATGATAACCTTATGATAACCAAGAAAATAAATTATTATTATTATTATTATTATGCCTTTTCATCTTGTTAGACTACAGATTTCTTGAATAAATGGCGGTTACCTAAAACCTAAAAGTGATTATCCAGATTATCTCTAGTATTTTTACTGCACGACTCAACTTGTTTTAGGTCGGCTAAACTGCTTTTCATCTTCTTTATTATGCCATATTTTAATTTAGTTCATCTTAGTCATTTTGATTCCTTCTGTGCATCAACTTCTTTTTAATCTTTTCACCTGTAAATGTTCTGATGTGTGCAACAATTGCTAATTGATATCATAAATAATTTAAAAGGTTTATAACTGTTGAGTGATTGAATCCTCTGTTTGTATCATAGAAAGCATTACTCCTGTTTTCTTCAGACTGTGAGCAGTATCCGTAACAGACGGTATTGCATGCACCTTTCAGACCCCATTAGATTACAGTTACCCAATTTATTTGATATACAGTAACCAGAGCCAAAGGCCTGGAATACAGTTCAGTACCTCTCATAAATCTATATCTGCACCTACAGCAGGAAGTCTCATTTATAAGTAGCAGCAGTAGTTTTACAGACAGCGCCAGACTCAGAAGTTCATCAGGTCAGTCCCGTAAGACTGGGCTCAATAGATCGGACGTGTCACGGCTCGACCAGACAACAGACATGGCAACAGAGCTGCCGTCCCAAAATAGTCCCAGAGCTGGAAATGGCGCAGGGGTGTCAGATATCCCCCGTGTCAGAATTAACTTTATGCTGCATCAGTGTAAGCTTATTGTATCAAAAATGAGTGAATCGTTTAGAAGTGACCCCTAGACTGCATGTCATGAAAATCACCATTATTAATGCACAGTGTTTGGCTTCTGTAACTAAATAAAATAACCCTTCTGCATGCCAATGCTGACAGCTGTGCCTAAGGTTGGAGACCCATGAAAGGACATTTCAATGACAGTCCCCCGGAGTAACCTGAGGTTATGTGTTTAGGTTAAGGACACAGTGGTGATTTTACTTTTTTTGTTGAGTTTGAACCTGCAAATTTTTTAAAGGAATAGTTCACCCTAAAATGAAAATTTACCAAAAATATACTCACCCTCAGGTCATCCAAGATGTAGATAAGTTTGCTTCTGATTTCTGAACTTCAAATTGTCACTTCTGTCCAAAATACCAGTCCATAATCTATAATAACGCTTCCTTCAGTGAAAAAGTCCATCCCCTGTTGTCCTCTCACACCCCCTGACATATTTGTTTAGAACTGCTTTAGACTGTTTTCACTTGTAAACTTTGCTTGATCTGTGCATATTTCTCTCCTGATTCAGAAACGATGAGTTTTTCACTGGAAAAAGCAATATTATGGATTATAGACTCATATTTTATTCAGAAGCAACGGTTTGAAGTTAAAAATGTCTTAATAATGGATTACTTGTGGATTATTGTGATGTTTTTATCAGTTGTTTGGACTCTCATTCTGACGGCACCCATTCACTGCAGAAGATCCATTGGTGCTCCTCCAAGATGCTTTAATTTTCAGTTGAATCTTAAGAAAAAATTATTAATGAAGTGAGGCCATATTTAATTTTAGATTTTAGATCAACTTTTCAGCACATTTTCCTCTCTATGTGTGTCACACAGGGTGTCCTTAAAAAGTCTTCAAATGTCTTAAATAATGTTTTCCTAATATAAGGCCTTAAAAAGTCTTAGAATGTCTTAAATTTGGATTCGATGGGTCTTAATTATTTTTGGTCTCATTACCACTAAAATATCTTCAGTCTGACGGACCTAATGACTTTACAATCATTGGACAGACCGAAGATGTTTTCTTCCCCGCGGTAAGTTACTGCATCATCAGAGAGAATTGCAGTAAGTTAGCAGAATACCGAATACAAGCTCGCGCTGAGGCTCACTCTGTTTGTCTCGAGACTTCAGAACAAATGAGCGTGACCGCACACAAACTCAGAAGAAACACACTGAGGTAAAAATTCTAAATGTTTAGTTTATTCATAACATGATATAGTTAAATAACACCATGACAAGTGAGCTATTTTGCTCAATATTCTCACAAAGCAAAAAAACATTCAAAACACCTACAGAGTCGGAAGTCGTGGCCTAATGGTTAGATAGTCGGACTGATAACCCAAAGGTCGCGGGTTCGAGTCTCATACCGGCAGGGATTGTAGGTGGAGGGAGTGAATGTACAGCACTCTCTCCCACCTTCAATACCACGACTGAGGTGCCCTTGAGCAAGGCACCGAACCCCCAACTGCTCCCCGGGCGCCACAGCATAAATGGCTGCCCACTGCTCCGGGTGTGTGTTCACTGTTTGTGTGTGTTCACTGCTGTGTGTGTGCACTTAGGATGGGATAAATGCAGAGCACTAATTCCAAGTGCACGAGTCAGAGTGCACGCATTACGTGAAGTCTAGTGCGCGTGCACATTTAGAGTGCGCTCTGCCTGATCACTGCATGATTCAGTCTATTAAAATACATTCAGAATGATCACGAATTCAAGACATGGGGGCAGAAAATATGTATATTTATACCACTTCATGTAGTTAATCAAGTTCACACGGAAGAGTACCTTTTTTTTCTCCAAAAATTACCATATACAAATGTGATATTGATTTTTATTTTATTTTTATTTTTTTACAACAGTTCAATAAACTAGAAGTTTTATTAAGAGACTTACGTTTTAGACACCATATTGCCTGTTTTTGCACTATTTCGCCAACAAAAATAATTCCAAACAAAGCCACAGCGCTGTTTTGCGTCTTTGAGCAACATGACGGTGTTTCGTTCCTGAATGAATCAACCGTTTAAATGATTCGGTTCAGTCGCAATGACTCACTTAACAGTGACTTGCTGCCATCTACTGGCGGCTTTAATTTCACGTTTAAAGTATCTTTTCATTTTTTTAATTATTTCAAATATCAGTATTCAATGTTTTATGTTTAATATATCAAAACATTATTTATGCATTTGTAACTGCAGGTTAAATGCATTCATGTTCTGCACTAAACCTCACATCTAAATACCAATTCAGGTGCAGCTTATGTCTGGATTGCAAAGATGAATTTTGTTGATACTGATTTCATTTGCTTGGTAACAGCCCAAATGTCTTATTATTCAAATTCATTGATTAAATGTAAGAATTTGACTCAAAAGATAATGCACACTTATAGAAAATACCCATAAAAGGTAAAATTTCAACTATTTGGAAACTATTTAAACTTATTGGAAAAGATTAATTTCTATCTGACCACCACACAGAATATGAAGAATATCAAAAACTTTAGGAGTCAGCTGTCCACGAAAGTCCTTAAGATAGCAGCATGATAAAACACTTCATCAGTTGAATGAATGACTCAAAGACTCACTCTTCAAGTGACTTACTGCCACTTACTGGTAGTTTAGTTGAGAAGTATGTTGAAAAGTATGCATTTTTCCCCTCAACATTTCTTATTTGTATACTCATAAATGCAATTAAAACATTAATCTCAGAACATTATTCATTGCAGTTGTAATTATTGTTATTTGCAGTGTAAATTATTTAATCTGACTGGTAGCAGCCCTATAGTGGATATTTTGTATGGAATATTGTCTGCTGACATGAAAAGTTCACTGTATATCATAGTAATAAATACCATTTATTACAGCAATTTAATTATATTTAATATTTAATTTATACACATTAAATATCACATATATGTATGTAATAAACTGTGTATTTCCATTACAGGTTTAGGTCTTAAATTTCATATAAGGTGGTATTAAAAAGGTCTTAAAAAGTCTTAAATTTAACTTGTTTATGTCTGCAGAAACCCTGGTCACAGTGAACGGTAACGGACACTCTATAGGAGCACTGAATAAACACAGTCCAGAATCAGGCTCGTCGTGGTTGGAGGAGGGCTGTAACGGCTTCGGGCCCCTGCGCTTCTCCAGCCCTGGATCGGGCCTGTCCGGCATGTCTAGCTCCATCCTGTCAGCTACCTCTGAGTCGGCTCTGTCTACTCTGTCCGGATACTCCACGGAGCGCTCACTGCTCTCTCCCAACAGTACGTACGCTGCTTTGAGCTAATGGAAAACAACCAATAGAGTGTTTTCACACATTCATAATTCCCATAGGGATTATAGTCTTTGTTTTATAGTCTTTGAATTACAAACCATGAACCAAACCAACCAGCTACAAGTTAATCAGCATTAGAAACTTTGATTTAAAGTAAAATAATGTTTGAAAATTTGACAAAAAGACAAATGTATAAGACTGTTTTTAACTGCTTAAATGAGAGAAAGAACTACAATCCCATGAAGAATCATCATAAAGGTCCCATTTCACAACAGTTCGGTAAACTTCTATAGTGGTGAACGGAAATGACAGCACATCATTTTTGCATTCCCATTAGCCACAGTAGCATAAGAAAAAGCATCTATGAGGAAAAAAATATAGACCGATTGATTACACTAGTCAGAAGAGAGAAAGATGTCAAATTTGCTGTCAACCCATCAGCCGTTGTATTAGAAACACTCATGCAGCAGCTGTGACTAGTTTTCTGTAACTTAATGGCAAGGTAATATAACACTTAGTATTAGGGCTGGCAAAATGACTGAAAAACTAAATTTGAATTTTCTACTTAAATATAATCAAAATTCGAATTATATTCGAATTTAAAGGGGTCATATGATGCGATTTCAAGTTTTCCTTTCTCTTTGGAGTGTTACAAGCTGATTGTGCATAGATAAGATCCCTGAAGTTGCAAAGACTAAAGTCTCAAAAACAAAGAGATATTCTTTATCAAAGTTAAGACTCTGCCACGCCCCCCTAAAACGGCTCGTTCTAACACGCCCCCACATATCTACCTCACTATGTGAAAATATTTGCATAATGCCGCCCAAATGTGCACGCAAAGAAAGAAGGCGTGGTTTCAGTAACCGCAGTTAGTGTTGAAGCAGCCATGTCAGGGAGACGCTGTGTGTTTCTAGGCGAAAGCAAAAGCACTTTATTTGGCCTTCCGAAAGTAGATGCATTTAGGAATCTTTAAGATGACTTACAACAGAACAGCAATGCATTTTATGGACGACCGTTTCGTGAACCTAGGAGAGGAGGTCATTCTGACTTTGCTATGACAATCTGGCGCTTCTGAATCAGCTACTGTTTTGTTATTAGTTTAAGTATTTGCTATTGACTGTTCAAATGCGGAGTTTTGCGCATCGTGTGTGTGTGTGTGTGTGCGTGCATAATGTTTAAAATAATGTTTATAAACCATATATAATTAATAAAGTTGCTTAAAAAATTAGAAAAAAAACAGCACCGTGCGTGTATGTATAGTTTAATACAAAGGATCGAAAACCAATCACAAAGAGTAGGCTACTTTCTTCATTTAAAAACATGAGATACAGTGGGATGGGGAAAAACCGCCATAACGTCTTTAGATATGTTTTTTAAAAGTTGAACTTGCATTCATTTTGCATGGCTTTCTAAACATGCCGCTCTCTGCGAGACGCGAGAGCAGCGCTGATAGATGTCCCTCTAGAAAATGTGATAAATATGTGTGAACGGCTTGGTTTCAGTTTTGACGTAAACAACATCATCTCCACACTGATGCTCTCGTTTTCCGCAATATATGAATGAACAACGTAGCAGCGCCGCATCTAGTGGGTTCAACTAACAAAAGCATTCAAATGCAATCAATGACACATACATCGTCATCGCATCTCGTGCGCCACTGATAAGGCTGCCTGACAGCTGACGCAGACCTTAAATTCGAATGCAAAAACGTTGGATTTTTTTTTTTAATTCAACAAATATTCTAAATTCGAATTTTTTTTTGACAGCCCTACTAAGTATAGCATAAAAATGTAAAAATGTGCATGCAAGTTTTTTAAAAATGGAAATATAAAAAGAAAATTGGCTGGAATTATGATGTTAGTAACTGGAAACACATTATTACAGTCTTTGAAATGGTTCAATCAAATGTAAAATGATGGATAAATACAAAGCAAGTCTAAGTATAAATGTATATTGAAATAATATATTTTACCTTTGTTGCAAAATGAGTGTTACGCACACAAATATTTAAGTAGTTTGAGAGCAGAGAGAGTTTGACTTGATTGTGCTTCATGGGATTGTGTGGGTGCTAAAGAGTTCTTTTGGTGTGGTTTGACTCCAATTAGTAGAGATTTCTTTGCAGAATTATGGATATTATAGTTTTTTACTAGGATTCCCTAGTGAAAACTGTTATTTAAAAATTAAGTTGAAATAATGTGGCTGATGGCTTCGACAAAAGCATATACCATTGATTAACAACCGCACGGTTCACAGTAGGTCTGTTTTTAAAGGTTTATACGTTATCGCTCAAAGTCAATTCCCCTGTAAAGAAAATGAATGAAATTTTTACTTCTGGAATCCGACTGTTGCTCTCTGTAGGCTTTTTATCTGAAATTAAACGTCAAATGTGTTCTGATGGGCTGTAATTATGTTGCTGAAAGTTTCACATCAGTGCTAAAATGGTCTGTTTTTCCCCCAGCATACTCTGCTGCTGATTTCTTAGTGAATCCTCTAGAACCTCAGAACGCAGATAAAATACGCATCAAGATTGCAGACCTAGGCAATGCATGCTGGGTGGTGAGTACAGTGGGTCGATTCCAGGCATTCAGAAAGTGAATTATGGATCACATCAGGTGTTTGAACACAAAGAGCTGGTGATGTGTGATGTTTACTGATGTTCTCTCCTCTATATCAGCACAAGCACTTTACCGAGGACATCCAGACGCGTCAGTACCGAGCTCTGGAGGTGCTGATCGGAGCCGAGTACGGACCCCCCGCTGACATATGGAGCACTGCGTGTATGGTACGAACTCATTCAGCGCTAATCAGTAGTGATCTAGTGTCTACTTTTTCATAAAGACAATGAAAAAATGGTCAGGATGTTAATATGTACACTTGCACTTCCTGCTTGTGTGTCATGTGAGAGAGCAGTAATATGATGTCTTCACAGGCGTTTGAGTTGGTGACTGGAGACTATCTGTTTGAGCCTCACTCAGGAGAGGACTACACTCGAGATGAAGGTCAGTTCTCTTGGTCTTCCTCCCAGGATATAGTTATTGGCATGATAAAAAACTTCAAAGGGATTATTTTATACTTCTAAACAGTGACAGCTGCTTAACATAATTTAAGTACTTGTACCTTAGTTTTTTTTCTTCTCATTTTCAAATACTTTTTTCCCCAGAGCTGGCCGTTCAGAAGTTTGGGATCAGTAAAACGTTTATTTATTTATTTTGATAAATGAATTCAGCATAATATAACAATAGAAGCAGTGATTTTAAATTATAAAAATATTTCACATTATTAGTTTTTACTGTATTTTTGGTCAAATGAACACCTCTTTGGTGAGTGTAAGAGACTTTCAGAAACATTAATATATATCTTTCAGAAACATATATATATATAGGCTTTAAATTATGCAATGATTACCATTAAAGGAAGAGTTTCCTTAGTCCAGAAATGTGTTGTATTGTTTTCCAGATCACATAGCTCACGTCATTGAGCTGTTGGGTCCCATTCCTCCACACTTTGCCCTGTCAGGCCGATACTCCAGAGAATACTTCAACCGAAGAGGTAAGAGCTCAACAAACACTATTCAACCAAAAAATGCAAATCTGGATGTTTAAATTACAGGAGAATGTCAGGGTGAATCTGATGAAGCACATGCCCACACTTTCCCCTCAAAATCCAAAGAAAAAAAGGTTTGCATGAAGAGCATGTGTTTATGGCCCACAAGATTTAGTCATCAGGTCATAGTCAAACCCCAGAACATCATGACGTGCTGGTTCATTCGCGCAGTGCTTATTCTGAAAAGGTTTTCCACAGACGTCTGATGAATAGTCAGGATATTATTAGCTCAGAACATCTTTGCTGAAGATCAACCCGTTAGCAAAGTTCACTCTGCTTGATTTGTAAACCACTGAGAAAGAGCCCCTCATGTTTCTAACTCCAGCAACAAAGCATGAATGCACTTATAGTGTTGAATGTAAAAATTCTGTTTGTCCTTCCTCCACTGCCATAGAACCACAAATCCCACCTGATTGAGCACCATCTCTCACTAGACCGGAGATAAAAATCCCTTAAAATGACCTTGAACCTATTTCTCCAGTGACAAGATATTTGAAATGCCACGTGGTTCATAGTAGGAAGCCATAATTTATTTGGATTTATCCTAGTCTATACATGTATGTGTGTATATATATATATATATAAATCTACAGAAATTCTCAAGAAACTTTTTAGGCATCATAAATATATATTTATATTATTTTGTAAATGTGTTACAAATTATATCAGAAGATGCTTATATATATATATATATATAATTTTTCTAAATATCCTTACCTGGATTCACAACTTTCCTTCACACAGTTTTGGACTACTTATTCACTTTCATGGAAAACAGGCCACCTTGACATTAGCACTTTGTTGCGTCCTTGAATTTGCATGAGAGTGTTTTGACGGAGTGTTTGCGTGTATGTAGGTGAGCTGAGGCACATCTCCACCCTGAAGCCGTGGGGGCTGTTCGAGGTGCTGCTGGAGAAGTATGAGTGGCCACTGGATCAAGCAGCCCAATTCAGCGACTTCCTGCTCACCATGCTCGAGTTCATCCCAGAGAACCGCGCCACAGCTGCCGAGTGTCTACAGCACCCCTGGATCAACTCCTAACCCGCTCTGTTTTCCTTGTATTCACTGCGTTTGTGCGGTCTGTGTCATTTTGGTCCGTCTGATCACTTGGTGCACACATCCACCTTTCAGAGCATAAACTCACTGCTAAGGTAAAACATACTGGAGATACAGAATCTGAGCACAGACCTAGCTAGAACCTCAAACCTATTGTTTTTTTATATATATATTTAAATAAGCTTTGATCTCTGAACATGATGCAGATATGTCTGTAGTCTGTCGAGTTTTCATTGTACGGTCATTTAATTGTTTAGAAGGGTCACATATTTATGTTAAAATAGTGCCTTGACATGCCATCTGCAAAAAAACAAAAACTGAAAAAAAGCCCCTCACCTTTTTATATTTGTCTGCGAATATGTGTGAGGAATGCTTGTTTGTGAACATACAGAACACTGTATGAATACTTGACTTGAATTCAATAAAGCCTTGAGCTCAAACCCTGTGTACCGAAGAATAAAGGATCACTTACAAACACAGATGGCATTATGGAGTATTTTTTTTATAATCCTGATGTGGTCGCTGTAACACTGTAACAATGGAGCATGTTTAAACATTTTAAATAATCAAGTATGAGAAAAACTATGAAAACTCTGGCAGTTTGTTCCAAACATGCATTGTTTTATTTTTCTTCCATTAACTAGTTTAGCATATCCTTATGCTATTTTTGAAAAAATGTAAAACACTAAATAGTTGTAAAATCCAGCTCTGCATTTTACTGTTGCTGTGATACTGTAGTGACACAAGAGGGCGATAAATGACCATTGCAGGCATTAACCTACAAGATATAAGTGTTATAGGAAGTCAAAGAGAGAATCAGTGTCATGGTTAGACCACAGCTAGACCATAAAAAATGTATATACATATTTATATATGCACGAAAGACCAGACCAGTTACAAAGCATACACAAATTAATTTCCTTAGACTTTGTGTTGAAAGAAACCCATGAAAGCGGTCCAGTGAGGTAATCTATCCGTGTTTTAACATCAGTCAACCGCCCCATTCTGTGGGTTTGTTGCGATTGCAAATGCAGAAGTATCGAGAGCTGGAGAGACAGAGAAGCCCTTAAAAAGTCTTTTAGCTTAAGATATTCATCAGTCTTAATACTGCAAGTCCAGTCACTTTTTCCTGCGTACAACCGTCCAGCCATCATCCTCTTCCTCGTGACTGGCAGCCTGAGGAGGAAGATGCTGCTCCGTCTGCCCCTCCATCACACTCTATAGCCTGAGAAAAACAACCAGAGAGAATTCATATAGGGGACCTTTGCATCTAATACTGCATGATATAGTTCATAAATAACGTCAACCTGTACCAAGCACGTTGTACCATTAATTAATAAGCATGAAAAAAAACTAAATATATTTACATTTTTATGTATTATTGATTTATATATTACACATGAATGTTTAAAAAATTTGTTTACACACACACACATATAAATGATGTGTGTATATATTTAAAGTATATATTGTATATATTATAATCATATATTATATAGAAATGTTAACATCTATCACATCGCTATCTAAACACACACACACATATATGCATACACAAATATATCTAAATATACATGTATATATTTATAAAATATAAAATCACAAATATATAAATACGTTTATATATATATATATTAAATGTATAAATTACACAGAAATATTACATTTACTTAAAATGTTAATTATAAATATTTAAACATTCATCATATCATGCCAAGTACCAAATATTTTGTACCATTAACTGATTCTTTTTTTATTATTATTTATATATATATA